CATCCCGCCCTACGCCTTGCCTGGTTTCAAACCCACTGGAAGCAGTACGCTGATTGGGTAAAGCGCGCAAAGGAGTCTATAATCAAGGTTTTTAAGCTCTATATGGCGGCAGAGGTAGACGACGACGATACAGCGTTGCCGCTGCCGCGTCGCAAGGTACCTGGCGGCAGCACTGACCTCTACAGCCAAACAATGGCTGTTGATCTCATGTTTCTCACCGGCTCAAAGTCTCACAAGCGTCAAAAGCGTGCAAGCCAGCTGGAGGAGTACTTTGACGACCTCCGTGAGGACCTCACGAACGCCAGCGATCAACAACTCGCTCTCCTCCACGATCCTTGGCGCTGGTGGCTTGAAATCGGACGCCAGAAGTACCCGATAGTCTTCAAGATAGCCACCGACTACCTCTCTGTCCCTGCTACCAGCTGTGAGTGTGAGCGTATCTTCTCAACCGCCAAACGGACGATTACAAGCGATCGCAACCGCCTCAGCGCGGCCACGATAGAGGCTCTACAACTTCAGAAGAACTGGTTACGTCACAGCGTCGTCAAAAGCGAGGTTTTGAAGCTACAACAACACGTACAACGCTGGGATAGCAAGCAAGGCAGCAGCTACAAATCCGGCAACAGCGAGGTCGCTGGCAGCAGCAGCAATATACCCAGCAACAGCAGCTACCTGGGCGACAACGCTGGCTGAGATCTCTATCCTCAACACCACGATACAGCTTCTCGAGCGCCTACAGCAGCTTCAATTTACAAAACAAGCTTAGCAGTTGCCTAATTAGGCAATTATACGATCCGTATGTGGTCCGAGCGACCGTACTACGGTTACGGTTCGTACTTAGAGCTTTTTTTGGACCTCCCGTACGTACAACACCAGAAATCGACCCGTACGTGCCCCAAGATAGCTTCAAACGTACCGTATTACGGTACGTTGGGAACGCTGTCTGGGTAGGCCATAAGCCAAACTTTCCAGCTAATACATAATGACAATTTCACATGTCAGGAGACAATCACCGCTGCATGTCATCCTTTTCTTTAGTGCTTAACTACTCGTTCTCTTAACAGATGATAAGATCCCTATAGCGGGTAATTCACCAAGTTTTTAGCAATCTGTGATCCAGAAAAGCAAGAGTGTATTGAAATTAGGTACAGTGAGTCGCAAATTGCGAAATACAGTATAACAGAGATAGGAGCGATGTGAAGGTCACTTGTCGTCTCAGTAACCCCCAAGATTACTTAGAAAGATGGCTCCATGTTTCAGATAACCATCTCTACTGGCAGTAAAGGTCGGAGGTCTTGCTGTCGAAGGGGCATGAATCAGGAGCCATGACAGCGAGCTGGGTCGAGTTAGCGGATTGCTATGATCGGGAAGCTTGTAACAGTGACTCACGTTGATGTAACCACCGTCACCCTCAGAGTTGAAGTGGTTGTCAGGGCCCCACATGAAGAAGCAGTCATAGTCGGTGTTGAGGACACCAGACTTCAAGCGGACAGAGGTGAGCTCGCGCATCTGGTTAGGCTTGGAGACCTTGTAGCCCATGTTGTAGCAGACAGCGGCCTCGTTGGGCTTAGCGCGCCTGGACATCTCGGCGGTGGTAGCCTTGGTGAAAGCCTCACGAGCCTGAGAAGCGACAAAGTTAGCTGGGAATCTGGGTATGGTGGATAGGGAGTGCAGCTTACAGCAGTCCAATCGGCAACGTTCTTGATGGTGTTGAGAGCCTCAGTTGCGGAAACACCGACAACGGCAGAGGCAGCACCACCAATGATGGCGATGGTAAGAGGGTCAAGACGCTTGTTCAGGGATCTCTCCTCAACTGTGCCGTTGTGAGGGTGGATAGGGGCAGTAGGGACAGCAACGGCGGCGCCGGCGAGGAGAGCGGTGACGAGAGTGAACTTCATTTTGAATGAGTGATGTAGCGAGTGAATCGGCTAGTAAATGAGGGAGTGTTGCGGTAGTGGAAAGGACTGAAGGCTTGAATGCTGTGATGATGAGTACTAGAGAGTACTTCCCCGTGTCTTATATACCCATCGTCTTGCGCCGATCGCGAACACATGTAGCAAAGATGAGTTATTCGGTCAAACTCTCGTTGTGATGTTGGTAAAGCCTTCAACCCTGAATCCGCCATGTGGGCTGTTTCCATGAGGCTCTTGGCTCTAAGCTTAGAGTCGTGAGGCTGATCGGCTTGGCCAGGGAGATTACCGATATGTCTTGCAGATATGTCGCAAACACCTGGTATCCGGTAAGACGTCAGGCTTTTTAAAGTTCGGTTTGATCTTATGTTTCCAGCACTTCTCACCAGCAAATGTCAACCATATACCTACTGCAACGCACTTTCACTGCGATCAGATGCTTGCGGTAGGCGTTTGCTGCGATTTGGATCGCATTTGGTTTCAATATTCATCGCATAGAAACGCGACGTCATCACATCCCAGGTACCCCAGAATCCAAGATAGTGGTTATGCGGTTAACTTACTCGAGTAGGCCGTGTGTCGTGGTTTACCCTTGGCGTCAGCATACTGTACCCGGGGACGCGCCGAATACCCGCTACTAACCACAACGAGGTGAGATCGACACCGAGAATTAAGCCGTATGGCCATTTCGGTGATTCTCATATAAAAAACGTATTCTTTCTGGCGCAATCTGCTGACATACGCTAGGGTCTGTACCGATTCAAACCGATCGAACAGCCTCAAAACAGTTGCAATGGTTGCTTGGCACAGTACGCAGGTACGTACCACGTGCGTACGTGCGGTTATCACAATCATAGCAAGCACACTGGCTATCCCTAATGACTACTGTGATCGTCCGTTCTACTGCTGGCTAATCATGTTAGTGCTATCACCTCGAGGCAGTTCTGTGATTCTACATTCTCAAAGACCAATGTGGTTAGCAATGTCAACGTGTATCGCCTCTATCTCGATGTCTAGTATGAGATTCTCCACCACGCCCCTGAGCTTACGGCACGTTAGTATCGCTCGGTCTCGGGAACGATTCGTTGTAACTTGAGTAGAGAGAAACGCATCTGAGGAAGATTTGTCGCATCGACGCTTATGGCACCCATGGGCCGCTGCTAGAGCCTGCTCTTCGCGGAATGTTTTCTTTTGGGGTCGCAAGGCTTTGAATGTTGTTGTATGTAGAAGCTGTATATCGGGGGGAACGTATCTACCATGGATACGGGTTGGTGGGGTGAAGCGGGCCGGGGAGAAACAACGAGCGATCGTCATGAAGTGTGGATCAGTCAATAGCTAGGAAGTTAGACACAAAACCGAAAAACATGGAAGGTTAGTAGAGACATCAACAATACTCTCGCCCACCCCTAACAACGCTCTCTCCGCATATTCTCGAACATCTTTACCAATTTCTGTGCCTCCACTTCGTCGCAAATCTTGCCTGCTTCGAGCTTCTGCGAGAACTCTATGTGCTGTGCCACGTCAACGTTAGTAGCAAGGATATCGGTACCTTCAGCGAAGTCTTGCCACTGCTTTGAAGTAACACCCCGAAGATTTCTTAGACTCTGTCCAAGAAGAAGCTTCACTCGGTCGAACTGCGCAATGGAATGCTTCCCATCATTGATTGGAGCGTTATTCTTCGCTGCTTCGATTTCGTACTCGGCGTCTTCATGCCACTTTTTGAAGAGCTTAACGAGGAAGCGATCATCATATTGTGGCTTGAGTGGTGGGTTCATAGGTGTTTCTCGTATGGACGTCAAGCGTGAAGTGTGCCGGCTCGTTGATTGTAATGGGAGTATTGCAAGTCCTGATGTCAGTATTGTCTCCGCCGACTCTTCATCTTATTTTCTGCCATGCTCAGCAAGCGCGACGAAGTCTAGATACGGCACTCCTTCAACCCATTCCTCACGTGGGAAGGGCTTCTCGTAGAAAGCGTCTCGTGCGGGAAATCTAGTTGTCCCACGCTCTCAAGCCACTTAGCTCGCGGCCAACGCCTTTCATGCCGCTTCGCTCGTGCATTGAGGTCCATAAACGGGATGTATTTCGGCCACTTTGCCCGTGGCCCAAGCTCTTCTTGGTGATCCTTGAGCGCCGTGGAGTTCCAAGTACGGAACGGACGGCAGCCAGCGCGCTCTTGGCCAGCTTTTCTCTTGGTAGACTGCCAGAGCTGTTATGTTCAAGTAAGGCACTTCTGTTAGCCAGCTTTCCATGGTGTAAGCCTTGTGGTAGATATCTTCCAGCTTTCCAGGACAGCCTCTGAAAGCCGATCCAATCTGCTGGTGTGACTGAACTCGAGTTGGCGACGTATCGGCCCATGAGAGCACAAGACTGTTTTTTGAGTCAAGCAACGCCAATTCTGAAAGCGCGCACTTTGCGCCGCATCCTAAGAGCCTTGATGTCGTGTGCGCGCCGTGCCTTGCGCTTCGCCATTATGATCTTCATGTAGTGAACGCGCTTCCTGTACTGTTGTAGTCTAGTAGGCCAGCGCGAGACAACGCTATTGAGCCGGTATTGAAGGCGTAGACGCTCGAAGCTGACACGATTTCATCACGTATAGTGCTCGAACCCGCAGCCTTAGTAAAGTCAGTGTCATCGAAAATAAATAGAAGCGCCATTACCGACCATGTTTGGATGCTTGGCTATATAGATAGCGAGCCGAGATAGCCGACTAGGTGGCCGAAGATGGAACGAGAGCTGAAGTGTCAGTGAAGTGACCATATTACCTTCAGGCTGCCACGCCTTCGACATTGGTATCATCTGTGTCATAGTTATCGCGAACCCCTTAAACATGTCTACTTTGCTGTACGTAGTACAGTACTGTTTCCATCTATAATCGTCGTAGCAAAGAAGCTTTTGTATTATATGTCATGTTAAGACCCAGGTCGGATTCCAAAACGACGTCATATGTCAAGCGTATGAGTGATACCATACGAGAAAAGAAAGGGGATAATGCTGATCGCGTGAACAAATTCAATTACCTAGTGTATTTCTGTTACTAGGCTTATCAAAGCTTCAGTGCTATATGGAGTAGCCATATAGGTGGTGGCACAACTACTGCCATGAGCTGCTCAGACTGGCACTCGCCTGGCATTTGGGCACAGTGTAGCTCCTGTTAGGATCACTCTCCCATGTGATCGTTCCACTGCTGCTGATCTTCACAAATTTGTATTGGATGGCTGAACCTGCTGCCAATGGCACGGTGATCGTCCAGACCGGGTTGCTAGTGGTGTAGCTGCTTGCGGAGAGAGTAAGGCCGCTGGCAGGTGTCCAGTTACCCAGCTGCGCAGTGTTACCGGTGATCTTGATAGTGTCGCCAGGAACAGTGGTGATGCGGTGGGTGAAAGAAACCGAAACAGCTGTTGGGCATGCAGTTGATGTTCCAGTAGCAGTGGCAGTCTTGGTGGTAAGAGTGGTTCCAGTGGTGGGCGTAGCAGCGCCAGCAACAAGAACGATGGGTTCGCCATTGCTGACTGTCACACAGATCTTACCGCTGCCGTCGGCAGTAACAGCAGCGCCGTTTCCGTAGACGTTGCTCCATTTTCCGTTAGCCTTCTGGGTGTTGAAGCAATGTTGCTGGTTGGAACTGCTTCCAGCGTTTGTGGTGAGAACGATAAGGTTGCCACCTGCGCGGCTCCAGGCGTAGGCGTTGTCCGCTACATACAAGTGGGTGTGATCGTTACCGGCAAGACCTCCTGCAGACTTCCTTGCAGCAGTCAGCTTCTTGATGGCCTGGTAGAGATTCGCGTTAGTGTTGAAGCCGCTTCGCCAGAGGTCTTCTCGGTTGGCTGGGTCGTCACCACCGGCATAGCCTTGTTCGGTACCATAGTAGAGGATGGGAATTCCTCGCGCGAGGATGACGTAAGCAAGGGCGTTCTTGAGCAGAGTCTGGTCGTTCTTTACGTTCAACCAACGCTTGTTGTCGTGATTGTCGAGGAAGGTGCCGAGAGCGGATGGGTCAGGGAAAGTGTTGCTGACGGTGTTCATCATGTCTACAAGCGCCTGAGCGGAACCGGTCTGTTGGTAGAAGTTGTTCATGGGGTAGTAGGTCGCGTAGTTCAGAAGACCGGGCATAAGCTTGGCGTACTCAGCAAGGTAAGTCGGGTTGCCATCGAACACTTCGCCGATGCTGTACACGCCAGTTGCAGCAGAGAAGCCAGGCCAGAAGTCTTTCTCAACGTGCTTGACGGTGTCGATTCGAACGCCATCGAAGCTGTATTCCTTGACAAGCCAAGAAACCCAAGTGTTCAACAGGCTGCGGATCTCCGTGGACTGAGTGTTGATGTCCGGGAGACCGGCAATTTGGCACTGCTCGATACTGCCCTGGTTGCTGTAGTTGATATCGCAGGCGGAGTGGTATGAGGATTGCTGGTTTAGTGGCGAAGGCTTGTTGTTGGTGATCGCACCTGGGCCCATGTGGTTGGCCACAACATCGACCATGACATAGATGCCCTGTAATGGATGAGTATACTTGTAGTATGGGTGTCATCTGGATTTGCCATACCTTAGCATGAGCAGTGCTGACCAAGCTCTTCAAGTCGGCAGCAGAACCGTAGTTTGAGTTGATCGAGTAGAGATCCTCAGCCCAGTAGCCATGGTATCCAGCAGCCTTGTCTGGGCGTTTGTTAGTACGAATTCTCTGTAGATGTTGACGGGGAAAACGTGCTTGCAACGACCGGGGTGATCCAGATGGCATCGAATCCTAGCCCTTTGATGTAGTCGAGTTTAGACTCGAGACCCTTGAAGGTTCCGCCGCAGTAGTTGCCAAGATTGCTGCATGCTCCGCCGCCAGTATCGCTACTGCTGCGAGCGATGCGGTCGGTGAGAACGAAGTAGATGCTGCGAGACTTCCAGGCGCTCGTGTCGGCAGCTGCGACAAGAGAGGTGAAGTAGAAGAGAGCAGTTGTGATGAGTTTGAAGAACAACATCTTGACCGACTCGATGCTTTTGCAAGCGGAGTGCTGAAGTCGTCAGGCTGTGATGTTTTCGTTCTGGATGAGGCCGGCCACTGGATTTATAGACGTGCCACGAGTGGGTATCACAAGGCCATACGCAGTCCCTCCGCTTACCCCACAATGTTTTGTAGACTCCGAATCGCGCTTGCCGGACGTTGCGGGTGACTTCAGCGCCTGTTCGCGATGGTCGCGGATACTAAGAAATCGAAGCGTAGACGAAGAACGATGGTGTCGCGTCGGTCCGTCATGAACCCACTGAAAAAAGTGTAACTAGATGATCATCTTACAGTTGGCGATCTCTCGGGCCGAGTTGGAGGCGTCAAGTGTACCTCGTGGACGTCTGAAACATATCGGTGGATACAAGAGAACGGTCAGAGACCCGGATCAGGAAGCTGCGGAGTGTTTAGCCATTGGGTTTGCCGTCTAGGCTGTAGTATTGGCGGAAGCACGCGTCGCGCTGTTTTCGCGTTTTGGCCCTAGGGTGAACTAGAGGCTAGGAAACTTCAGGGGAAATGAAGGAGGTTGCAGGGTTGAAATGATGATGCCAACGTAAGCGAGGTGATGTGCCTCGGGCCCCGGGCGTTAGCGTCATCATCACGATGGCGGAGCCCCGCATTCCGGTACTTAGCAACGTGCAAGTCAATTTAAGGTGCGGGCCGGATGCGTTTTGAGGTCTGATGACCGTCTTCTATACCCGCCAGCACGGCCTGAACTTGCTGACACGCATTCATGCCGACAGCGAACCAATGAACGTTGAAGAGTTTTTCCGACCACGACCAAGTTGGCAAGTCGCCGAAGAACGCTAGATGCTTCTATTAGAGCATGCACAGAAGGCGGATGGTGTCCGGTATCTAGCTCATATACCCAGTCGACGAGGCCTGGGTTTGAGGATTTCCACGAATCCACGTGTTTACGGAGATTTCAAAAAACCTGGAGCCGGACTTAGCAACGGATGACAGGGCGAAAAAACCTGGAGTGCAGGTCTTGGAGGGCGGTAGCCATGTCAAGAACATATCACAGCCCTTTCAAGGCACCGCTTGATCAACGAGCCGACATCGATCCAATCAAAGCTAAACGTGTTACACAGGCATACGGAAAATTCAAGATCGCAGGCAAAGAACAAAACTCTCGTCTTGTGTTAGTATCTCCAGCGTTGCTCCTAGATCATTCGCATCTTCCGATCTATTGCTGTCTCAAGGTAGTCGACACTGTACTACCGAGAAAGCTAGATCCGTTCAAACCACCATATTCACAATCTCTTTACCTTCTCCAACAATCTCTCCATCCTCACATCCAGCTCCTTGACTACATCCCATGGCCTTAGTCCTCGCCCTACACCCACGCCCATAACCTGCGAATATACACTCGCCCAAGCCGGATACTTCTCTCTCGGGTTTCTCGGCATGCATTCGTCCCTCCATTTCCGTTCTTCTCTCACCAATAGATCAATCCGCGCTAGCAACAGATGAATTTCTCGTAACGTGGGAACGCTAGCTGCGCGGCCGATAGTATGATGTTCTGAAGGGGGCAACAAGCCTTCAGCAGCTTTCCATCGCGCTTCAGCTGCGAGGGCTAACTGGTCGAGGTCTGAAGCGCGTACAGTGAGTGAGTGGAGAAGGTCATCGTGTTCAGCCCAAGCGATATCGTCGTGAGGGGTGGTTGGTGGAAGGCTGAGCGGGTGATTGGTTAAGCCTTGGGGCGCGGAGGTTGAGGACCGTGGTGTTTGTGTTGTAGGGTCTCGAGATTGTGCTGATGAACGATGCGTGAAGACTGTGGAGTAGGGCGCAAAGTCTGAGGTATGTGGTGATGCGCTAGCGGTAGAGTAAGGTGGCTGATCAGAGATACGTGCGGCTTGTGCAGATAAGCGGGAATCGTAGAATAATGGTTTTGGTGTTAGGGTTGACGTGTGTGAGGTTCGGTGTGAGGAATGAGAAGTTTGAACTGGAGATGGCGAGGCTTCCTGCGAAGAGCGGGAACTCTGACTATGTGAGCCAGCTGAGGGATGAGCAGATACTCTGGATGAAAATTTCCGAAGCATTTCGCAAGGTCGTGTTATGTATTTGTTAGGACGACTGTTACACATTGGGAATATTGTAAGAATACTGGGAGTAATGAGGTGGCGGAAGCGCGAAATTCACTGTGCTCTATCACTGATCTTAGCTGTTTACATACAAAGTGTACTTGTGAAGTGAGTGACGCGGAACTATATTGAATGTTGCCAGGAGTATCTCAACAACATGGGCGAGAGAGCTCGTATTATAATCCTCTACCGTAAAGGTATTCGTGATGTTTCACTCACGCAGTTGAACAGGATGTAGGATAGCGTATACGCTTACCTAAGATATTGAACACAAGTTGTTGATGTGGAGTTTCTTCGCAGCAGCCTAACGCAGACCATCAGTCAAGATCAATAGGAAGCCCAGACTTGTCAACAATCAAGCCAGCTTGATCGCTATCAAGCTGGCGCATCAAGCTGGCTATTCAATCAAGCCAAGCTGGAGTAGAGGTACAAATCAATCAAGCCAAACAATCAAGCTCATTGATTTCAACCCATCAAGCCAATCAAGCCAAGCTGGGGTACTCAGCTTGCTTGGCTTGATTGTTGACAAGTCTGAGGAATCCAAGGTCGCCTTTACTCTGTACACGTGGATGTAGATATCCCATCTGTGCGCAGGCGATGTTGGTCTCGATGAGAACCATCATGTTGACGATCGCCAATTCGTGTGCGCCGCGAAATGGAGCCAGCGTTGTCATTGCGATACCTCGCAACGAGCTGTCGAATTCTTCTATGTCTGGGAAGATAGGTCCGCCGAGAGAGGAGAGACCTGTTGTTCTCATATGCACGTAACATGACCCGAGCACTCGCCAAGTAGATGAAAGAGTACAGCAGCAATTGTGTCCACTAGCCAGAAACTGACTGCACGTGGAGCGTACCTGGAGCAGATCGCGTCACTCCACGCCTAATATATGTAGGATGAACGTTCACTGACAACTTTGCCTTCTTGTTTCTCTTTGAGCGACATAGGAATACTCACGAAATAATGGTAAGTACCGAAGGTCATCCGCGGAAGTTTCCGGGTGTGGCATCTGTGGGGTGCTTTCTGTCCAGCATTCACTCTGTACACGTGGAAGTAGATTTGCATTGTGCATATGCTATGCTTGGCTAAGGTACATGAGATTGAGGTCAAGACTCCATATATAGAAGGTAAATATGCCAGTGATAGTCACGCGACAATGCTGACGCTAATTGCCCGACTCCATCTGCTTCCTCCACTCCAGGACGAAGGCCCTGCCTCGGTCCATACGCGCCTTCATTCCTGGAGGCATCGGGCCAAAACAAGCGGGCCTTTGTCTGCGGCGGTTGGCATGCGTGAGCTTACGTCGCTTCGACGCCTGTTCCTCCTCTGTCGACGAATGTTCCTCCTCCTTCTTTTGTTCCTCCTCTTTCTTCTTGAGCTCGTTGCGCTCTCGCTTCTCTTCGAGTTCTTCTTTTGTAAACCGCTCCGCGTATGGGATTCTCTTGTCTTGTCCCTCTTGGCCAGTCTTCTTTAGAAAGTTCATATATTCGAAGTCATACCAAACAGAAATGCCTATCTTGCCAGTCTTACGCATGGTGGTGACGATCGAAGCTGGTATAGGGATCCTAAGGCCTTGAGCCTTGGACAACACAACCGCCATCTGCTTGGCTTCTTCAGCCGATTCCTTGTACGAGAAGTCGAAAAACTTGCGTGTGAGCTCTCGCGTGTTGAGGACGGCTGCGTTGGGAGGTGACACGGGCGTACCTGGGTTGCTCCCACCCGGTTGCGTTGGCGTCTCAGCTTTCTTTGGACTCGGCTTCGGCTTGGCCTCCGGCTCATTCTTGCGCTCCTCTTCTTCTTTTTGCTCCAGCTCTGTCTGCAGCTCGTCGCTGTATTTGATCTTGTATACCTTGACAGGGAAGTCTTCAAGCTGTTTCCCTTCCTTGTCGTGGACGGTCAACGCAATATGCATCCTTCGGTCATCGAGAGGTTCCTGGTTAAATTAGTGTTGGCTTCAGGCAGGCTGGTGGGACCAAGCGGGTTGCGTCTTACCTTGTTTGCCATCTTGGTTTCTGTGATGGATCGTGTGACGTGGCGGCTGCTGAAGCGTATGACAGCACTGTTACCTGATCTGGGTATACAATGGGATACGTGCTAAGGTGTGTGATGTAAGAAGAATGGAGTGAAGGGCAGGATGAGACGCGGTTTTGTATCGTCCTTCCAGGGTCCAGGGTGAGAGAGACGAAGTGTATCGCTATTCATGCAGAGTTGCGAGACCCACTTCCATGTGTACAAGTGAAGGTGACTTTGAGTTTTGGATTTTCATGACAGCTGCCTAGACAGTCTGCACAGTATGAAAACTCAGCCACATATTTTGTACATCTTAGACCTTCTTATTGATAGTCGCTGAGCTTCCTCGTAGATGCGCGGCTTATCATCTTCCATTCAGTGAGATTCGCAAGGTCAGCGTCGTAGTCTCGCGTACTCATGGTCTGCAATGTTCCATGTGGACTACGAGCTTGTGCACTTAGAAGTATTTGATGGTATAGTAACTATCCTCCGGCTGGCTCCGTTGGGTATCGTCCTTGAGTATGCAATAATTCCAACTTGTTCCGTCCCGCTCCTACTTCTTGTGCACCAAACACAACAGCGACGCAAAGGGATCAACACCGTTACTTTCAGTCTTGGCCTTCTTCGAATCCTTCTTCTTGGAGATGGTCGTAGCCAATGCTGGAGGCAGCTTCACAACAATCTTTTCTCTTGTCATCTCCATCTGCAGCATATGCCTCTGAGTGCTTTTGTCCACGGACTTCTTGATCTCTTCCTCTGCTTGCCCCAGGCCCTGGGCAAGATCCTCAGTATAACCGACTTTCTTTCCAATCCCAATGCCGTGCTGCGTTCCGAGTTCTTTGCCTTGCACCAGTCCCATCTTCAGTCCTTCTGCCTGCCCCTGTTCAAACCCGACTGCCAAGCCTTCCGTGATGCCGGTACTTCTGCCCTCCTTGATGCCTTGAACGTATCCATAGTCTTTTCCAGCATCAAACCCACGATCGTAGGCTTCTTTGCGAGCCTTGGGCAGTAAATCCCAAAGGGATATTGTTGCTGCGTCGGTCTGTACTGCGCATGAAGCTGTCAAGGCGGAGGTTTGGGTAGCCTGTGAGACCGAATTGGCTGTGCCAGGATTAATGAGGGGTTATAAAAGAGTTTGGTGTGCATACTGGCATTGAAAAGGCGCAGGAGCGTCTCGTAGATCGCAAGCTATCCAATTAGCGAAGGCAGATGACAAGCCAATACAAACTCGCCTGAGTCTGCTTCAGCTGCACCTCATCGAGGCTTTGGTCTTCTTCGTGAAGACCCGCGAGGAAAGTCTCAAGCGAGACACGATTGCGCTCGATCTTGTTGGCCTCGTGGACACGATCGAGCAGAACTTGTAGGCGGTCTGATGTGGGCATCATTGGCATGCTGTAAGTGTAGTGAGGTTGTTGAGAAGGCAAGAGATCGGGTTAGGTAGAAGGAGCTGTCAACAAAGCTAGGGCTTGGCGAGTATCAAACAGGTAGGCGGCATGGAGACGGCTTCACCTCTCATCGGGTATCATTATACGATAATCCATCCTAAATCACTCGAGTGGCTCGATTTACAGTTTGTTTGACTTCCGCAAAACCTGTCAAGGCATCCGTGCTCCGGTATGATTTGCATCTACCGCGGAACATCATGATCCACGACTTCTACATTGTTCCTACACTGATCAGATGGATACAGTAACCATGGACTGGCGACGACGCTTACCCGACAGGATCCATCACAAAGGCGGCATAGTACTTGGCATGGTACTGGTGCCTCCATCCCGGCTTTCCATTGTCTTTCCCACCTGCTTTCACCGCCTCTTCATGGAATTCTTCCACCGTCTTTCTATCTGTACACCGGAACGCGACATGAGTAGCAGCTGCTTCTGCATCCTCCTTGGCGGTAATAAAGAAAACGATGTTTGACCTGTCCGGACCTAAACCGACACTGCGGTTATGGAATTCCTTCTGTTTGCTGTAACCAAGCGGCGCGAGCGCGGTCAGGTACCAGGCTGTGACTTCTGCGAAACGCGATGTCGGAACGGTGATGCCAATGTGGTCAAGCATCGTAGAACATACGAAAGGAACAAAGGGGTATCTGGTGTATGAAGTACTACCAGAGGCCTACGTATTTAACAGAACGATGGACCTCAAGACTGCTTACTTATCAACCGCAATTGATACGGCTTGGAAATCCGGATAGAGGCTGAGTGCGGGGCTTACTAGTCCATTTGCTCAGTAAGCACACGCGAAACCAGCTGCTTCTCAGGTGTCAGACTCGCGTATGACCATTGGGCGCAACTTTCTCTCAAGACAGAAGAAAATGTAAAATCTGAATTGACATTCAATCCAAAGCAACGTAGACGGACATGCGTATGAGGAACCATACAGAAAACTGACTAATAATACAAACATAGCACATGCTATACAATTCCAAACGGTTCGGCTCCGCGAGCTGCTCGTCTGCGGTACAATTCCTTCATAATCTCCATTTGGCTGCACCGCGACTAATAGTCAAACCGATCTGGCAGCACGAGAGGAGCGACCAACGTCCATGTGTAGATGCCGTAGCAAACCCATGCGCTGATGATCTTCGCCCAGCTGGCCCAGTATGTTCGTCCAACGGGGACGAAGCTACCAGACACATCCTTCTCGTCGAAGTTGGTGGTGAGGAGAGTAGCGACCCATGTTGTGCTGAGGAAGAAGATGATGTGGAAGAGAGTGTAGTTGTATTGCGTCGCGTTGCGCTCGTCATCGCGCGGGTTCTTCTTGCTAGAGGGCTCATCGTCCTCGTCCTCGCTGTCTGAGTCGTCGAGAGCAGAAGCAGGAAGCGAACCGGACTCTACAGCGGCGCGCAAGGCAGCTTGGCGCATGTCACGGCGTGATTCAGGTTGCTGTGTGACGAGACCATGCTCGTAGTCTTCAGTGCCGACTTGAGCGTAGCCGTTTCCGTGAGGGTTGCCCTGGGCGCCAAGAGCGAGGCCGTACGTTGCTGCACGGGTGGTGGTGTAGGCAACAGTGACGAAAGTGACAATGGCGCCGATGATGATAGTCGCCTTACGAGTTCCACGGGCACGGATCAAGGGGTTGCATTGATGGTCGTCAGGTTCCATGCCCACAGCGGACAAGGTGAGATAAGTGCAGTAGACGGCTACAATGGCGGACTGGGCGAGACCTGCTCGGGGGTTGACGTCCTGTACTGCGGGGTGAATCGATGCGACGGATGAAATCAGGAGCAGGATCAAGTTGATCTGTTGAGGTCAGCCAGCTTCGGAAAACATAGAGAGTTGCACTTACCGTGATAGCTGCCTGGTTCATGCCACATCCGCTCTTCGCAAAGAAAATGTACATGATTATGGTCATGGCGATCGAGGCGAGGTACATGGACATGGCACTACCAACAAGCATGCCTGTCCAGACGCGCGACTCGGTAGTCTCAATCTTCTCCTGGCAGTATTCGGCCCAGTTATGCGCCAGATCGACAAGCAGAATGAGTCCAATGAGAAGGAACAGACACGCGCCAATCATGGCAAAATAGTTGCCCCAGACGATGAAGAACGAGTTAGGGATGAAAAAGGTCAGAACGATCATGCCAATCCAGCCCATGATCTTGGGAAGCCAGAAACCGTTCTGTATGGTCGCGCGACCGTCCTTGGAAGACCGTACTCCGATGAGCATAAGCGCCATAATGACGTGGAAGAAACCGAGCGCGAAGTTGATGCGCTGTACTGCGACATATCCGTAACATTGTTCGCCGTGGCATTTGATGTCGACATAGTCCAGAGTGAGGTGAGCCAGCTTCTTCATGGCCCAGTCGGTGAGCATGATCCATGAAACAATCGAGTTGACCAGAAGGATGAGCGCGTATGCGATACGGGTGGCGATGCTACGCGACAGTCAGTACACATTCGTACATACCGCCCAACGCTCGCAAGCCGTACCTGTTACCGCATTTCCCTCCGCAAGAGCCCATGACGGCGCTGCATGTCGCGGCGCCACAGCAGGAGGCGGCAACGCTCCAAACCTGGCCATGTTAGCGGCGCGCAATCGCGATGGAGCGTGTCAACATACCGTACCCATGGCGGGCATGGCCAGAAAGGGTACAGATAGTAAGGCGCCCATGATTGAGATGCGCTGAGTCGCCTATGTGGTGTTGTGGAGAAGCTGGGGAGGCACGAGGATGAGGCCGGTGACGTTCGCGCGCTTGCATTGCGGCTCCTTCCGCCAAGTCCAGCGCCTTGGCCGCCTTATCTCCGATCAGCTGCAATGGCCATGCTTCACTTGCACTCTCCCATCCACTCTTCAGACATCGGTGTGGTGTCTCGGGGCCCGCCTGACTTTGTGTTTGTTTCGTACTATAGACTTCCTTCACGTCGCTCTTTTCCGTGCGCCTTATCTTGCATATCTTTACCTGCGGCATCTGCTTCTCGGCTTAGCAAGTGCCGATATCAGCTCCAGTCCGCTGCGATTGCGCAACTCGACGTCTCCCGCATTCGATGATCAGCACATTGCAATAACACCTCATTCACACTGACCAAGATGGTCGCCGAAGAACAGCCCTCCACACACAAGAAGACGCGCATTATTTCTGTTGTCGCTGCGACCGCAATCGCGCTTGCCTGTGGCACAAATGTACGTCTCCGTCATACATCTGAAGCGGGATGCTAATGAGCCTCAGTATGCCTACTCAGCATGGGCACCACAATTCGCCGATAAGCTTCAACTCTCCGCGACCCAAAGCAATGTCGTCGTATGTCACCCTATATGCCGCCCAAATACGAACTTCGTCTTACACTCCTAGGGCACGGCTGCCAACTTGGGCATGTATGCGTCTGGCATACCCATGGGCATCATAACGGACAGGAAGAGCCCCAGACTTGCCGCCATTATTGGCACGTTTGCGCTCTTTGCAGGCTACTATCCCATCAAGCTTGGTAGGATATCCCATACCCGGTTGTTAGATCAACGTCTAACTGTTGGCAGCGTACGATGGAGGCCCAGGCTACATGAGCGTTGCTCTGATATCCTTTTGTTCCTTCTTGAGTGGTGTAGGCAGCTGTGCTGCATTCCAGGCCGCTCTAAAGACAGGTAAAACTCTCGACAACCTTTGGAGGACGTCTGCTGATCTTGGTAGCGACGCTCAACTGGCCAACCCATCGCGGATCGGCCACCGCTTGCCCATTGGCAGCTTTTGGCTTGAGCGCCTTTTTCTACACTCTCATCGCCGGCATAGCATTCCCAGGCGATACCTCCGGACTGCTCATGATGCTTTCTCTTGCGACCTCACTAGTTGTTCTAGTATCGATACCCTTCCTAATCGTCGTCGACCACAAAGCTGGCACTGGCTATGCTGTCCTACCCACCAGCGAACGTGTGCGACGCAATTCCAACGTCCTCCATAAGACAAAGTCCAACGGGACCAGGTACAAGTCATCTGCTCTCCCACAACAGGAAATCAGTAAGCAATCCTTTCCTTTCCCACCTCCGTTTCCCCCCTGTCACCTGCCAACCGCTTCTAGCAGCCGAAGAAGAACAGGATCGACCATCAACCGAAACCTCGTCTCTCTTATCTTCTGGTCCTGGCGACATCATCGACGATGACGACGACGCAGCAAGCAAGAAGTCGACTAAGTCATGTATAGATATCACTGGGCTGGCACTCTTGAGCAAATCAGAATTCTGGCAACTGTGGGTACTCATGGGTCTCCTGACGGGTGTTGGTTTAATGACTATCAAGTACGTATCCTCTGAATCTTGTGTGTCATCATCGCTGATTAGTACAGCAACATTGGTCACGATGTCCAGGCTCTCTGGAAACACTGGGATGACTCGATCAAGAACGATTTCGTCGCTCATCGACAACTTTGGCACGTCTCAATGATCTCACTCTGTTCATTCCTGGGACGTCTATCTTCCGGAATCGGTTCCGATTTCATCGTCAAGAGACTGCATCACTCGCGATTTTGGTGTGCTGCCATTTCAGCCACCATTTTTGCCCTGGCTCAGGTCGCTGCCATCCGCGTTGAAGACCCGCATCATTTGTGGGCTGTATCCGGACTCTCCGGTCTTGCATATGGTGTTTTGTTTGGCGTTTTCCCGGCGCTTGTCGTCGATGCTTTCGGCCCCGATGGCTTCGCTGTCAACTGGGGTTTCATGACCTTGGCACCCGTCGTGAGCGGCAACGTCTACAATCTCTTCTATGGTGCTGTATATGACTCTAACTCAGTGGTGGAACCGGATGGTCAACGCGGATGTGAGCTGGGGCTCAAGTGTTACCGAACGGCGTACTATGTTACTCTCACATCGAGCATATTGGGCATCTTCGCATGTTTCTGGGGTATTTACGGCGAGCATGTAAGGAAGAGGCGTGAGTTGGAAGAGCATGATGGACATAGAGATGCTTGATCTTGTCTCATTATTTCAGGTCAAACTAGTATGGAAGCGACGACAGAACGTATCCTTGAGCCTGCCTACGCCTATTAGTACACTATGGCGTATGGCCATTCGTGTCTCCTCTGTCACGCTGGGGTTGTACCCAGAGATTCGAGCCGTGGCATTCGTTTGACCATCTTCTCGTAGTGTAGATGTTGCCACTATACACGACCCAGTTCATCCTTCCAACATCCACCATCGTTTTTGACAACCGGGTTGAGGTAGCTAAGTCGCACCAGCCTCTACTCTTCCTGTAGCGAACCCAAGCTGAACATCTCATTGGACGAATACAACGAGCACTGCCCGCCTTCATGTATAATGTTCTCATGTCCATAGGATGTTTCGCTTTCTTCTTCATTTACCTCGTGACTGGTACGACAACGACTGCTTGGCTACATGTAGGCTTGGCAGCCGTAGATGTGGCTTCCATACATGCGCTGTGCATGTAAGACACGAAAGATGATGATAATGGCTCCGCAAGTTGGTACAGTCAGTAGTTGAATACATCATATTCTCAGAGAGAAACAGAAATGTAGTTTCTCATCCGGTATCAGCAGGTGCTTTGGGCTTGGCCTTTGATCCGGCAGGTCTCCCCACTCTCGCACAGCGTACGATTGGTGGACGTAATCTAGGACGACCGACAGGGCGCTTCGAGACAGTGGGTACGAGTTCTGGCGGTGGAGGCTTAGATTTGGTCTGCTGACGCTTGGATTTGTCCCTCGATCCTGAGGGCCTTCCTGTAATGTGGCCAGTGGTTGGCACCTTGATATTCTCTGGGATCCGGCCACCGCGTGGAATAGGCTCCCTTTGCGACCATGTTTTCACAGGTCGACCAACAGGTCTAGGCTTCTTGACAACTTTCTCAGCCATCGCTTCCTTTGTAGAACCCTTTGGACGGCCTCGGGGTTTCTTCTCTACTTCGACAACAGGAAGGTCTTCCTCTTCACTGGGTGTAATCTGGCGGATAAGTTTGACGGTTTCCTGGTCAAGAGTGACTCTGTCTGGGAAGATAGGCGAGCCCATCCAGGTCAGCTGGATATCTTTCATGGTCCCTGCATTCTTGAACTTGGCCCGGATCTTCGTTGATACCTTTTCGTCCTCGTCTACTTCCTCCCCAGGCTCGACCAGTAGAGCCCGCGGAGTATGCCTCAATGTGACACCCACTCCTTCTAGTCCTTTTTCGGATGCCATCCGGTTCCAGACGAATTGCTCGATCAATCCTTCCCGAGAAACGAGTACAAATCCCATAGGCCACTGACTCTGTCCTAGAGCCCTCAAGACACCCGTCGTCGCCTTCTTTGTCGTGACCAACAAGCCCATAACATCCTTGTTTCGCCAGGCTGGTGGTATCCCTTGGAACGATCCTTCGAGTTCGCGAATGTGGCCCGGGTTGCAGCTGATTTTGCGTGACTTGCACTGTACGATGATAGGCATGGGTTCTCTTAGAGGCGTCAGCACCCAATGGCCTATCAAATCTATGCCCGCATCTCCCCCACGGCCTACGCGTATGAGGGAGAAGCCTAGACGCATGAGCGCCAGTGCAGACATGTATTCATACAGCGTACCGACAGACACAGCCGACGCCAATGATCTGCCGGTACGTTCCGCCCATTCGAGGAAAGAAGGAAGCGAGTTGTGATGTTTCGAGCCAGGCGAAACTACCAAGCTGGGGACATCAACGGGTGCGGCATGGCGAGCAGAAGTGGTCGCGATTCGGTGCGAGACGCGGTGCGGAGTAGTCCTGGGGAGCCATGCGAGGATGGGACTTCGTTTGGGCCATGATGGGCGGAGGAAAGGTCGCATCACGGTATCCTGAAAGAGCGCCCGGGGTGTGACATATTTGAAGCGACTTGACGCGGCCGAGGGTCAGAGCCGGTGTCTGGCGTTGGTGAGGGTGGAGTAGAGGGAAGGAGGATTCGCGTATATTTTGAGGGTTCAGTGACGCGCTAGGCTAGCTCCACCGCCATCCCTGCCTGTCGCATCCCACCACTCGTACTCTCTTTCAACAAACATACTCAGTCTGAAGTCGCCAGATCTTTTCCTCTGCTAACCCTCTCGGTATCCCATTGAAAGCGATCGCATCACTCCCCCTACTAGACCCGTACGAACCTGCTACCATGGGCGACATCCTCACTCAAATCCAAGATGAACTGGACATGGTACTGCCCATACAAATAACAGAACGTGTCTCGTGCTGATAAAGACAGCTCCTGAACCAGATGTCAGCAGCTCTACGCGAAATTCGCGAGAATGCCCCACCAAGCGTTCCCCCAGGCCAACCACGCCTCGACACTTTCGCGGAACTGGAAGCTCGCACCGCTGCCGAAAACGCCCAGCAGAACCCCACGACAGATGCCTCACAGCAGGCAACTGCGCCTCCGGCCAGATCTTCCCCGGAACAGTTTCAAAAAGATCTCAAGGAGCTCGCACAGGACATAACGTTGAAGGAACAGCAGATTGAGAGATTGATCGCACACCTGCCGGGTTTGAATTGGAGCGAGAAGGAACAAGTAGAGAGGATGAAAGAACTCGAGAGACAACTGGAAGACTTGGAGGGGGAGAGGATAAAGGCAGTCAAGGACAAGGACACCTTGATGAAGATTGTAGAAGACAAGATAGCAGGCGTAGGCAGGGTTCGATGAGCTATTGATCTGCCAAAGCACGCATCCTTGGCGACGACAACGGTTTGCATCAAACCCATACGAACTTGTTCCAGTTCGGGTATCATGGATTTAGGGGATTGGGGCTTGAACCTACCGTTAACGGAGCCGCAACAAACATGCTTCAGGAATACCAGGAACCGTCTTCTCGCCAAAACACACCACTCAATGCCCTTGGCGAACTTGACTGAAACTACAACTTCTCTTTGGAGAACGACACGGATACGGACTTGGTATCGCTACGAGGGTGTTCAGGAGTTTGATGACTAAGCACGAACGTATCTACGACGTCCCTTGGGCGGTCGCGGATGCGGAGAGCTTCGACAGGTTTATCGGATCTCAGAGACCAGTGAGCTAGTACATGCCTAAGCTGCTAGCTACACAAGCGGGCCCGCTCTTGCTTGCCAACTCTACGTATACTGTGGCAAATCTCCAGAGCGTAAAAGATGATTAGTGGAGAATGACGTATAGTCAGTTCAACAGCCTAGCAAGCGATAACAGCATGCTTGAATTGCTAGTTTTTGCTCGAAGTGTTGCGGAGGATTTGTTAGAACAAGCGCGGGATCACTGCAATCAGGAGCCATGGACGCAGAAGAGATAAGCATAACAAGATTGTTTATCAACACGGAAGATGCGATGCGCCTCGATCCATCAGACCCGCCCTGGCACCAACTTGTGCCTACCACTTGTACAAAGACATCATAACGTTATGTTATAATCCCTGCACCGACGCTCACTACAACATGTTGCTTGTTCAAGCCTCGCGCTTAGTCGCTCTTCTCGATATCAGTCTTGGACACGATATGATAACCACCAACGTCGTCACTCTTAACCTTGACCATGCCACACTCGCTTAACCACAGGCTATTCACCGATGTATCGACGTCCTCAGCATGGTAAACCTTTTTTGGTGTCACTGATCTCCTTACGATCATGTATTCGGGCTTTCCGCTACTCTTATTCACCTGTCTATCTTCATCATCACTGTCCACTGGCTGCGCAGGCTCGTGGATACTCTCAGAACTCTTGACCCCGAAAAATTTGCCAAACAAAGATGTTATTCTCGATTTTGACTCTTTTCCCGCGGCTGCTCGTTTCGCCGCCTTCTCGTCTTTACGGTCTAGACGTCTATCGCGGCGTTTTTGTCGTCGGATCTGACCTTGAAGTCGCTGAATCTCGTGGGCTTCTTCGCGGGAGGTAGCTTGCGCGAACTCATCAGGGTCATCGAAGAGGCCATAGGTGCCGGTGTGTGCCTGGCTGTGGGCATCTGTCGGCATCGTAAGCGTGAAAGATGACTGATATAGTGGGATGAAGCCCTGTGCTTTAGAGAAGGCTGGTGCTGGGATCGCGTGAGCTGTACGTGGGGTATGCTGGTATGAAAGTTGAGCGCTGACCCCGCTGATGACTCTCCGCGATGACGATGATAGTACAGGTGGCGTGGGGATAGTAGGCGCATGAGACAACCAATTGTCATGGTATGTGACATGATTGCCACACCATTATTGTCCGCCAGGCAAACACAAAGTCGTAAACTATGGAATCACAGAACAACACATCACACAAGTCGTTGTCACGCCCCTCTGATTCACATCAGCTTACCACCTTTGGAGACCCTGGAGCATGGCGAGCGTCACTTCATCAGCAAATTAGCCTCATATATGTTTCAAAGCAAACCACACAAATGCCTCCTATTGCTACACTTTCCTACCACCCACTAAAGCCTCCTGAGCATCCCTGACCAACCCCTCCAGCGCGTCCACCTCCCACTCCATTTGCCTTCCATACTCCCCTTCTGAGCGAACACCACGACGGTACACTCTTGCAAACTGTTTGAAACGCTCTGTAGCCATCAATAATTGTGGTCTATATTCTTCAATCTTGGCTAGCATCTGCATATTGAAGGGCTCAGGTACCACGCGGTAGTAGGTTTCTTGCATGACTGCCAGGAGCTCGTTGGCTAGGCATGTGACTCTTTCGTAGTGGATGAAGAGGGTTTGCAGGGCACTTTGAGGAGAGCGTTGGCGCGGTGGCGTGTATAGGGATAGGGGGTTAAATGGAGTGTTACGGGGGATATTCGACCGTTCGGTAGGTCTGGAGTTAGTATTGTGGATGTTGTTGCGGCGTTGGGACCTGTACTTTTGTTGGAGAGCCATGCAGGTGTGTTTGATGCTGGAAGGTTAGTAGCTACGGAGAGGGTTCAGGAACTGTTTGTAAACATCGAGTGGACGAGCTGTAGGGTATCTGACGAGGGCTTGAGTCAAAGTTCTTCTGATGTGAAGGTATATGACGTGTTCCATTGAAGTCAAGCGCTGCATTCTTGCATTTGGCATCATTTCCGCAGCAGTTTTGGTCATTCTTGTAAGAAACTTGATAGTAATAATTGTTGTATGGTTGTCCCTAGTGCTTGTTTCGATCCAATAAACGCCGAGATGTTCCAACCCCATCTTTACCCATAACACCGCGCAATTCCCCTATAGTTATCATTTTGAAGCAAGTGAAAATCTTATCTTACAGCACGTCTACTGATGTATCTGGCTGACGTGGCCAGCCTGACCAGCACCACCCCACTCACTGTCGTCATCACTGCCAACATCTGTCCAGGAAGTGGGTGTCATGATGCCCTGTCTGTCGTTGTCGAACTCGCTGAAGCCACCTTCTGAAAAGGCATCTGTGAAACCGCCCTCAGAACGCGCGTCGTGGTCCATGTCGTTCTGTTCACTGTTCGGCATGCTAAGGATGGCGACATCGTTGGCTTGACTGTCAGCGACCGAGGCAGCACTCATGGTCATTGAGCGCTCAGAGCGGGGCGTCAGGGTACCGGTGGAGAGGTGCTCAGCGTCGTCATCGAAGAAGGGGTGAGATGGAGCAGGTTCGCCTGCTTCCGAGGTGGAGGATGTGAAGGAGTAGAAGGATTGCGCGGCTTGGTCGACGTCATCCTGTGCGGGCTGTGCGGGCGAAGAGGTCTCAGGGATGGAAGTCTCAGGGTCGGGTGTGAGGTCGACGAGTGTACCAGTGGTGGGTGTTGAGACGACCTCGGGCTGGATGGTAGCAGAGCTTTCGCGAGTGGCAGATTCTTCGTAAGTGAACTCCTTGGGTGCGGGAGCGTCTTCGTCGTAGTCATGGTCGAATAGTACTTGGTCGTCAGAGAAGGGGTTGGCCATGGCAGCAGCGGCAGCCGAGCCGGCGGCAAAGCCAGCAGCACCGCGCTTCTTGAGATTACCATTCGAGTTGTCCGTACCAGTTGCCGTTGCGTTATCCCTGAGCATGCCATCGCTGCCAACCATGTCATCGAAGCTTCTCGTCCGATCAGCCCTTGACCTCTTTGCAGCCACTTCGGCGGTCTCAGCGCCGATCCTAGCCAGTTCATCCAGGTCGACAGCAACGCCCTCTTCCCTTGCCCGCCTGATCAGTTCGTTCCTGTTTCTCCTAACCAGCTCCTCTCTTCTACGCTTCCTCGCTTCGAAGTCATCGGACGATTCGCTCGGGCGGCGAGGCTGAATGTCATCGCCGAGGTTGTGCAGCGCGACGGCGATCTTGCGACGGGTCTGGTCGGCCCATTGTCGGACTTGAGGCGATTCGTAGATGGCGATTCCGGCGGCGACGATAACGGACGCGGCGATTATGAGGCCTGATGTGAAGGGATGGTTAGGACGATGCGGCGGGGTTTGAGTGTTGCCTGGCGAAGACGCGAAGCACGAGCCGGTGCCTGCAAGCAGGTTGGCATAGGAAAACAGAGATATGAACAAACTTGGGATAGGAAGAGAAGAATAATGAAGTCGCTGGGGCAGCACTACAGCGACGTGCATAAGTGGAGTTATTCATACTCACCTTTGGCCAGTGGCGCAGGCATGGCTGCGGACTTTTGTAGCAGCGGGTGCAGTCTGCTACTGAAAGAAGCCCTTGAGAAGTGTAGCGGAAAGGAGGGAAGGAACAAACCCAGAAGCTTTTGTCCTTGAGCGAGCGTGTAAGGAGAGAAGGCTCGAGAGCTGGGGAGAGCAGTCGGTGGTTAGGTCATCGCCACTTGCACAGCCGCACCATGCAGGGCCCGTGGAGCTCCGGGCGGCTTTTGGTGGGGTCGCGTGCCGCTATCTTGCTGCATGCGAAGCCTATCGCCCCGCGTCCGTTAGTCTAACTTCATAACCGTTCCCCTATGATGAGCATAACTTGGACTCAGTTGCGCACATTTCCAGATGTGCACAGCACATCTAAAAAGCACTCTACGATTGTGAACAAGGGCGCAGTAGAACGATCTATCACATGTCATGAAACTCCAGAATTATACACGCTGAATGATATTGAACTTTTAGAGAGCTAAAACTCGACACTAAACTGTAAATAAACCCAAACGAAAAGCATGCCGATATCTGTAAGCCAAGTTGTAGCCATGAAAGCCAGCCTGACCTATCAGACGCTGTGGCAATCCGTTGTAAGTAGCATCGATGTGTAGCCTAGAACACAGCCCTCCATCCGTCTCCAGCCTCCTGCACGGATGTTTGCAGGAACCCCTCTTTGACGGGTAATGAAAGAACTGGCGATGAAAAAACAAGCAACGAAGACAAGACAGACTGGATTAGGGAATTAATAGCAAAGAAGCAAGGAAATTGGACGGAGGCAGCCAAAGGCTCAACATCAGGCTGGCTTGGAAGGCATACTCAAGTCAAGATAAGCCAGCGGTCCGTCAGTCTCCTCGTTGATGTGGAATGGAGTTTTCCGCTGACCGCAAACAGAACAGCAGCCGTTATCACTGTCTGCCTGCTCTGAGGTCTCCGGTATGAAGCCGGGTTCATAGGGGTTGTTGTTGCGCTTAGCCTCCGGGGTGGTGTCAGTCTTCTTGCCCTTGGCCTTCGAGATATTGATAACCTTGCGGCGCTTTCGCGAAGGGCCTTCGTGCTCGTCATCACGCTCTTCATCCAAGATCTTGCGCTTGTTTCCTCCATATGTGGATAAGAAGCAGGCAGTCCGGTAAAGACGAGGGTCGTAGCGCCACATGCTTGTAGTCCAGTCGAAAACCCATGGGTCTGGACTATCGATGCTGCGAACAATTCGAACATCCGGATTCCTGTGGAGTCGAGTACCATCCCAAGGCATGACGCGAGTGACGCGTGACTTGGGAATGAAGCCACAAGCGAGCCACTCGTAATCGTGACCGTCTGCGCAGATCGTATCGCACCAACGGATCTTGGGAAGGATAAGTTTCATGTCGGAAGCCCGTATTTCCGTTATCGACAACCACATATCTGCGCCAGATGCTTTCAGCTGCTGCCAGGTTATAGCAGAGTGATCTAGTGGCACAGCTGTATCACGAATCCACACTGGAGTCGAAACATTGTGGACTTTCGAAGCCAAATAAGTCTCGTCGGGGTGGAAACGTCGGCGAGTGGTAACTGTTATGGTAGTCTCCATTTGAGCCGTGACAGTCGCAGCGATCAAACCATCAGTACTGATCCGAGCGATTGATACACGCATGCCGATCCTCTTACTGTTTTTGTAATGGAAGCCTGCTCTTCGAATTGCATGACCTGATAGTGTTAGCATTCATGTTAGAAAGATGTTTGATGCAAGACCTACTAAGATCATTGAACCCAGAGATGTACGAAGATGGGTTGATCTTTTTGTTCCAGACGAGGTGCCGCTCAATACGTTCTCGCGTCAGATCTGTTGGCAACGAGAACGACCCGATGGATTGGAAGGCATTCTCGTCACTAATCTTCAGGTCCGGAACTTCGCGATGCTTGGGGTGTGTGTCTTTGTTAACAAAACAACAAGCAGTCTGAGATGTCTCGTAAAAGGTCCTATGGATACTTGAGGGCAGTGTACCGCTTGCAGCACGAGTGAGCTCAGGCGCCTGGTCGAACGTACTGTCGGTCGTTAGTCAAGAAACTGTAGACGTTCCACAGTCACTTACATCATGATAGTACCATCCAACAGTTTGGATTCGATTGTCCTTGTCTGGTTTTCCTCTATTTTAGGTAGTATATTCTCGATGTTGTCTGGCCAGATTTTCTCAACATCGCCTGAGCTGGAGATCCTAAGCTTGGAGATCCTAAGCTTGGAGATCCTAAGCTTGGAGAGACGAGCTGCATCGGAGGTAGGCGTTTCTATAGCATGGTCGACCTCTGTTGTCTTGGCCACGCTGCTATCATGGGCTGGTGATAGTGCTTTCGAAGATCGTTTACGGCTCTTGGCCTTCAAGGCAGGCAGACGAGCCATATATGTAGGACTAAAGGTAGTAAAGCTGAGGAGTTACAAGAGAACTTGGATGAGGCTCGACGAATTATCGTGCTCAATCTTGACTGATCAAGAAGTGGATAGTTGGTGTTGCAGAGTTGCAGAGATCGTTCTGAACCGTATAAGAGATGTTTATATACCCGTATCATATGCTGATAGAGAAGTCGAAGTGAGAGAAAAGACACCCTGCGATCGTCCCGAGATAGTAAAGGTGCGCCATAAGTGTGCCAAATACCTTGCCAGATCACAGGTGAGTCTGCCTTCTGTTTCGACTCTTGCAGCACTACCCCGCTTTGCGATAATTCAAGTAAAAGTAACATGATGAATAACTGTTACCCAAGGTGATGGTGACTGAAAATGTATACACCTCACCAAAGAGTTGGATGTAGGTTTTGGATTCAAAGTTTCTTTGTAGTCAGCCGGTTGCAGCTAGATATAGGGAATTCGACAGTCCAGGAAAGAGACCGCTTGACAGTAAGCCAGATATCAGTAGCTCAGCAAGGCCAATGAAGAATCCCCAGGTCGTCAAGGTCGATGATGTATTCGATTTGTTTCTGAACGCAGAGGATCTCTCCCCCAAGATCTTAGAAAAGATGGACAAAGGCCTGCGCTCACCACATGAACTGAAGCAGACGCTTTCGAATAATGCTGGAAAACATATGCGTAACTCTAAAAATACTCGAAAGGTCCATGTGCTGTTGCCTGGTCAGACTGCAGCTCGGAGCATACGTCGAAACGTCGGACGGATGTTCAAGATCTTTCATGTCAGCCAGAAGTAGGGTATTGCGCTTATGCAAGGTCATTTGCTATCTGCAGCAACGTGCTGTTCCCCGATGCCGCATGCTCAAAACCACCACACATCTCCAACCGTGTAATACAATCGCCGGACCGTCGCCGCGTCTTCATCGCCCCAATCCAAACTCCAGTCCGCCTTCACGCCAGGCGCATAGTAGGACAATTCGAAGAACCCCACTTTATATCCGATTTCGCACTCGAGCATAAAGCTCTCGAGGACAGGCATTTGCTGCGTCGCTTTTGCAAAGGCGATGAGGAACGGGTCTAGGGTGTCTCGATTACCGTGTTGCATGAATTGAGTGTCCTCCTCGTCCCTCGGGGTGCCAACGAAGTACCAGGTACCAGAAGGCGCGACGGGATTGAACGAGATCTTGAGCTTCTTGAGCGAGGGCCACGATGGCATGGCGCACGATTCGTGGATAGAGGGCCAGAACAGCGTCGCGTCGACATAAGCATCCAGAATGAAGGTTGTAAGATTCTGAGAGAAGACGCGTAGCGATGCGCTAAACAGATCGAAGAGTGTGCCCTGTAGGAGACTAGAGGAGGTAGCTTCTCGGTGATCGAACGGCGCTTCCTGGTGGAAATTGAACATTGCTACTGAGCTAGCCGGAAGCTTCGTTTGCTCAAGTAACCTTGCGAAATTTGATCTTCTCTCAACGCCGGCCGATTGTGCACCCTCTTCGTAGAATTCTGCGTAAATGTGCTTCAGACCGGGCAGAACTGACATGAGCTGGGGCCCAACGGATGGCGATATCTTTCGGCCGTAATTGCCTTGTATCTGGAAATAGCTAATTCGCGAAACTGTAGGTATTCTGTCCATCTCGGACAGCGTGAGATAGGCAGTAGCAAACCGACTCTCGGAATCGTAACAATCGCTCGGGGACTTTGGAGCCGCTAGGTTGAATCGCAACTCGGAAAGAACACCTGCGTCCTCCCATTGCCTCAAGGTCGAGAAAAGTTCAGCAATGCTATGGGTGAAAATTTCGTTGTTGGTCTCTTGCTCCTCACTGCTCTCCATGCGATTGCCCTGCTCTTCCGGGTATTCTGGAAGCAGAATGCTGTACTTCAAGTTCCTCAAATATTTGCACCTATTGCGTGTTACGATGGTCCGCAGTTCGCCAAGATCTTCGCTTTTGATGTCTAGTCGATGGAACGTAATGAACTCAACAGCCTCCTTCCATTGCGAGGATATTGTAGCAAAAGGTGGCAGTGTTGAGGACTTCACGACCACCCGTTGTTGTAAGATATTGGGAATCCCTTCTCGATCTGGATACCGATCGAGAAACATCACCATCCGGTTAATGATCTCCTGAGGTAGGTGATCCATTGTGACGAAGATGCCCTAAGCTTTAGTAGAATGCCACTCAGGAACAATGCTTTGAGATAGGTAGACGTGAGTTCTGAATGTGGAGGTGTGAACAGCGGTGCGCTCTTAAAGTCTTAAAGTGACAGAAACGCACTCGTCCGCGACAACTCAAGCGATAAGCGGGTCGATTGAATGGATGCGGAGTTACAAGCCCAAGGGATGGAACCGGAAAAGAAAGAAAAGGCCGTTGCGGAAGTTTGGGTGGAGCCAGAGAAGAAGAGGAATCTCTTGAGTTTGTTCTTGGATGAGGGCGGAAACGCAAAAGTACGAACGGCATACAACGAATTAACAGATGTAATTGCGGCGATGGAGTACCTGTTTCAAGATCGAGGAAGCACTGCTTGATGAGAGACGGGGAATACCATAAGCGACATCTCTAGTATCTACATATCTCAAGCTGAGCAGGGAAGGAAGCTCGGAAGATAGCCTGCTTGTCTGCGGCTATGTTCGACCTGGGAGTCAAAGAATACATACAAACAAAGCTAAACCTTCGGTGATCAACGTCACTTTATCGTGATGCGATCAGAATACCATTTGTGGTGAGACGAAAGTCGAGCTTGCTCGTACTAGCCCACCCTCCGACGCCAAGAGCTGCGCGTGTCTGATTGGCGGTCGCAACCGCGTCTCAGCGAGCTGCCACTTGCGACACGCAGCACTCGGACGTTCCACCACCACATTCCTGATTATCACAATCAGACGTCTCTCGCTGTAGCTACAATGAGCTCTTCTATAGAGACCGAGATTCTGAACAAGTACAACCTCACGACACTGTACCCCGCAACCTGGCCAGAGGAGAAGGACGAGGCCGATGAAGAGGATACGTTCGACGAGCCAGTGCCCAAAGCTACCCCACAGGCGATCCGCCGGTCCAAGTCGCGATACTCGGTATTAGAGCCTAGCTCAAGATACTCACGGCAAGTGCCGGGTGCAGAACGATCCAAAGATGGCGTGGAGACATTGGTGCAGAAGGACGAGCAGGACCCGTTGGGCATGTACCCGAGTGTAGTGCAAGTGCTGCGGGCAAAGAACATTCAGGTCGAGGATGATATCAAGCTGCGTACGTTTCAGCCATATAGAAATACACAAATGGCCTGTCTAATAGGCATACAGGCAACCGCTTCCTCTTGAGCTCTACTACCTTCTCGCCCTCTCTTTTCCTCTCGCAAGTCCACAATGAAGCCTCCACCGATTCCCTTCTCGCCGGCCTTGACTTTCTTTCCCGCTCTATCGAAAAGAAGTCAGCTTCGCTCAAAGTCCTCGTCGAATCCAATTTCGACCGCTTCGTAGGCGCCAAAGCTACCATCGACCGTGTATACAATGAGATGCGGGATCAAGGGAAGGAGCAACCAGAGGCGCCCAAGGCCTTACAGCCAGGCAGGGAGAGGAGCCGCTCGAGCTTCTCAGGCCGAAAGACAAGCGCATCTCTGCCACCCGCCATGCTGGATTCTGTGCCGACAGAGAAACGGAAGAATGCGCTTGTGAAGGAGAGCGAATACGGTGTGCATGGCATCAAGGTTCCTCTGACCGAGGTCGCGGTCAAAGCGGAAGAAGTCTGGGGCCCTGCACTGAACGGACGTGAAAGGGAAGAGACATTGAAGTCGATTATGGAGTCAGTGGAGCACCACCGCGGGCTATTCGAGGTTGGGTCAGCTATGCAAGACGCCATTCGCCGGAAAGACCACGAAACAATCACCGAGGAATACAAGCGCGCACGAAAGTACGCAGAGGAAGCCCGGTATATTGTCGAGCAGGCAACGTCGAATAAGACGCAACTTACTGATGCCGAGATACACCAGGTCATCGTGACCGCGAGGATGTGGTCAGATGTCGAGCGACAGGTTGAACGTTTCAAGCGCGACTCGTGGAAACGCCTGACCACGGCTCATTTTACACACTTGCAAACCGGGACCGAAGAGACCAAGTCGGATGAATACTTGAGCATCATCTCTATCATGCTCGAGCTCGGCGTAGAGGATAACCCGATATGGGTATGGTTACTCTCACGATACGAACACCTCAAGTTCCAGCTTACCTCCAAATGCCAACATGCGCTGGTTGAGATTGAGATTCTTCGTCGTCATCTGGCAAACGGCGAAAAGACGAGCCTGCGTATGCTACAAAAGCATCTCCGTTCGGTGCCCACTAGCAGCAACGTCAGCGCCGAACCTTCGAAGCTAGACACCCTAAAGGTGACCGAGTTCTGGGAACACGTGTATGCGTCGATGAGCACCTTGCTCTCAAATAAAAGTGGACTACTGGCTGAACTCGTTGAATACTGGGAGATTGTCCAGTCATTCCTCTCTGGTCGCGCGCAACGGAACTTGCCCACAGGTCACCATGGCCAGTCTTCTGTCCATCACCGTCTCAGTACTGAGAATAAAGCTGAGCTTGAGAGAGGCACAACCGAACTCATCACTATTCTTCGGGACCATCTGGTCTCGTTCTTCTCGGACCCTCCTATAGAGGATGTTTCCTTGCTCATGTCGCCATTGCCTACGAGTCCGACACCAACAACACCGGGAACACCATTGAGCGCAGCGTTGAGTCCCAAGTCCGCAACTAGGTTCAGATTTGACCCTGCGAAAGCACCACCACCCTCACCCAGTCGCGGAGAATCTTGGGAGAAGTATGCCTTCTGGCCTCCCAATGCGAATGCGCTTTCGGGATCTCACTATCTATCCAGGATGCTCGTGTTGATTAGCACTGCAGCCAACGAACTTGCTTCGTTGCAAGTTCCTGAGCCTGGAGGCAGTGGTCGCATTGATGAAGCCCTGCGAGCACTACTTGGCGGTGTACGAGAACGTTGCATCCAAGCTGTATGTGCAGCTTGGAATACTGATGCTGAGAAGCTGAAGGTGCTTGAGGACTGGACTCGTCACGTTGATCGCAAAGATACTACAAACCTGCCCCAGCGTTTCCTAGCAGTACAGAGCTTCCTGCTCAACAATCTGCAGAAGATCCTGTATGTTGAGGCATCGAGCAAAACGCGGGTGGACGTAGTTGTACCACCGAGCAACAAGCTGTTGCAGATGGTCAGAAGCCAGTTCGTCACCAGCTTATATAGGACACTGAGTGGAATGGTCGAATGTGCCGAGAAGGGCAGGCAAGCTCTGGGCCCCGAATTCGAGATCAAGGGTGATGACCTCACTATCGACGAGCAAGATGACCAAAATGGTAACGACTTGGGTAGGGTCGACGCCAACAAGAAGGTAAGTCATCTCACATCCGACTATGTAAGTTTACTAACAAATCTCAGTCCATCCGCCTGCTTCTGACTCTCGCCAACATGGCCGCTTTCCAAACGGAGATAACCCCCCAGCTCCTCACCCTCTTCGAGACACTCTTCAGCGTCCAACTCACGGACGAAACTAACCGCATTCGAGACGTCCTCTCTCAATTGGATGCGCAGCTCTTCCGTTCCTACACCAAACCCCACGCCACAAAGATTCACAACACAATCGAATCAGGCATCTTCAGTCCAAACTGGGCGCCGGCCCCCGACGCGCGAAAGAGTGTCGCGGACCGCGACCCCAGCCCATACGTCTTCAGCGTCCTTCTCGACCTCGTGATTGTGCACACGGAATCTTCGACAACGTCCGCGCCGTTAACCCCCCGCATTTTGCGTGCACTGTTCGAGTCTACAACTAGCTCCCTCATCACTACTTTCCAGTCCCCTAATCTATCTTCAGTTTCGCTCCCGCAACTCATGCAAGCCACGCTTGACGTGGAATTCATGGCGCAGACGCTCGCTTCGTATACCACTGAGAAGGCATCGCAGATCCAGACTGATATCTACCAAGTCCTGGACCAGAAGACAGACAACGCGGCTAGAGTGCGGTTGCAGGATGAATTGGGTAGTCTGAGAGTCAGTCTCAAGAGGCTGAGAGAGGGGACGAAGGTGCAGTTTGCCTGCTTCAGGAGGGTCAAGAGGGGTACGCTCGCTGGTGGTGCACCAGGCCAGGAAGGTGAGCAGAGGGGGAGATAGAATCGCTTCTTGAAGGGTAGTCCAAGTATTTTGAGTGTAAATGTCTTGTTGTTCGCAAATCTATCGCTTGGAAATGCGCATAAAGCGACCGTGGTTTTACAAAGAACGCCGCTGATGCATCTATGTCCTATTCTCGTTCCATACTCCATTCCCTGTATTGTTACAAGTCGTACAATATTGTTATACATCCTCAGACCCCGCGAAGGGATGTTGCTCGAAATACCGCAATAGCGTTTGGTAAAGTACCAACATGGTTCCCGACTGTACACTTGTCCAGACCGCACGCGGTCCGACGCCTCTGAACCACCCAGCAATTCCTTCCGTTCTGTATATTATCTTCAAGCCTGTCATGACAGAGGAGGTGTCGAGGGTGGCGGCGCCGTGGGCTTTTAGTGTTGTGGAAGGGGAGGATGTGGAGATGGGTCGACTCTGAGTCGATGGTGGCTTGGTTGTTTGCGATGGGGTGGAGTGTTTCGAGGCCGTGGCGGGCGACAGCGAGGCTTTGGGCGCAATTGGAGACGCAGGAGATGGCCCATTGTGTTGCGTCTGAATGCGCGTCTTGACTACGTCTAGGGGAGTTGTGATGACGCCTGCCATACCGCCCGCGGTCCCTGCCGTTATAATCTCAAGCGGCAGACCGATGTTATTTGAGCCCATGTACCTCTTTGCCCAATCCCGCTCTTCTTCGTAAAAGGCAAACTGCAATGCTGAGAAAGGCAGATCACGCCAGAGCGTTGCCTTGTAGCCATGGAAAAGGGCGCTATAACCTTCAGTTCTTGCTATTGTTCGGGCAGCGTCAACGGTGCCGCGGTAGTTGTAGCCTGAGTTAAAGTAGGGGTTGTTGTAGCGGCCTTGTAATTGCAGACGTGTCTTGAGGACTTCGGATGGAACGTATGCGGGTGCAGCAGCGAGGTCGGCGAGGAGACCTGGGAGATGTCAGTATGGAGATAGACTCGAGTAATTTGGGGAAGGTGTACCGGCTGAGAAGTATGCGACCGAGGGCGCAACCCCATAGTCAATCATGGTTCGCTTTGTCCATTCATAAGCCCCAAAGAAGCACACAGTGCCTGCAAAAGACCCGAGGAACGCTGGCTGAACCCCGCCATATAAGCCCTTTCGAAAGCCTTCTTGCCGCCATATGGTGTAATATGTGTTGCCCATGGATGTGTACTTTGGAGGCATGTGCGGGTCGCCCTGCTGTCGCGTCTTGACAGTGTCCAGTGAATGCATCAACATGTCACCCGTCGTTCCTCCTATTCCTCCTGCCAGCATTGCCTGTTTGTGATCAATTGGCATCCCTCATCTCTGCAGACTAGGCATCCTCACATGTAGGTATGGCGGCCGCGCTGCTTCCTCATCTATCTCGTCGTCCATTGCTCCCCGCTTGGTATCCTCCATGGGAAGTTCCACTGCGTGTGCTGTGTTTGCGACATTTCTCCGGCTACCGTCGGTCAGGTTGGTGGTAGAGTCTCCGTTTGTGAGGAAGTTGGCCACGCGGGCAAGTACCATGAGCGCTTCGATGGTAGTGGTGAATACAGAGGAATTGGAGTGTGTGGTAGTCAAAGAGGACCGAGTATGGAGAAGGATTCAATGTGCAAGGGTATACTTCAAAGAGTGACGTTGCTGCCTCTGCGGCCGTGCGATGATGTTCAATCTGGAAAATTTCGGCCAAGACCGGGACCGCGCAGCCCACATCCCTGCAAGCCCTGGCTATCTGCTATCAAAAGCACGGGGACCAGACGACGGCTTGATGCAGTTAAGACTACCTCAACTATCTCTACGCGAATGCTCCCAAGACATCGACAACACATCTGTCTTGCCCCAAAGACAACATGGTGTTGTTGTAGATCAATATATAATCTAGGCTAAGCCCTGCGACATTTAGCGCCTACTGATGACCCACGTGAGCCCCAGCCATCGTGTTTACATCTCGAGTCTCTCTGCATCCGATCAACACCACACCGCCCCCACCTTTTTCGCCCACGACGCATTTTTCTGCTTGAATTTTTGCTCCATTCTGATCGCACGCGTTACGCGACTTGATCCATACCACTCACAATGTCTCACTCGTGGCTTCAGAGGAAGCGCAAAGCTGATTTGATTGACCTTGCGCAGAAGGCTAGACTTCCCGAGTAGGCTAGGAATTAATCTTGCGCATGCATCGGAGCACTGACGAGTGGTTTGCAGTGCCGACGGCTATCTGAAAGACGATCTCGTGCAGATTCTTGAAAACCATCTCAACTCCAACGAGGGCATCTTTGCCAAACTTCCCGAGTTTCGCGACTACTATGGCCGAAATGGATCGCCGATAAAGCGCGAACAGTCTTCGCCGGCAGAGCCTTTGACAGCTACCAAAACGACGCGTCGTCGAACTCTTAACAAGGAAGTCTCGTATGTCGAACCTGAATACGCGTCGCGTCACGCGTCGAGGCTAACATGCGCGCAGCCCAGAGTCTACTCCCATCACCACGTCTACCCCCGCCATTACGCCTGAGATCCGCAGCGTTGTGGCGCGTACGCCAAAGCCGAGAGCCGTCTCTCGTCGTGTTTCTGAGATTGTTTCTGAAGTCGAACCCCAAGCCAAAGCCGTTTCGCGCCGCGTTTCCGGAGTGCTCTCTGAAGCCACACCGAAAGCCGTCTCTCGTCGCGTTTCTGAAGTGTTCAATCAAGTCGACATTCCAGCATCACCTGCCCAATTGGCTGAGGTCGCAGACCAGTCTTTCCAAGAAATCCAGACCAAGGCTGGTGAGCTATGGGACAGGACTCGGATCGATGAGCTTAAGGAATTCATTCGCGAAAACGCAAGCTCGGTGGCTACAATCCAGACAATCATCCTGCTTGTGGAAGCTGTAGGACTGCAGTGGAACACACTCGACACAACCCCATTATTTGCCACACCCCCTGCCCTCAGCTCATACTCCAATAGCCAAGATGTCCGAGGACCAAATCTCTATGCACTCCTCTCGGCTGAGTGGTGGTCACCAGCCACTCTTTGGTCCCTCACTAGCTGGGTGCTACCGCTCATGTTCTCATACTTCTTCAACCTGACTCTTCGCACAAACACCTCGCGCAAGTCCTCGGACCGCCAATATCCTGCTGATCCCCTCATCTTCAACATTGCGCGAGCAATCTTGTCATACAGCGCCTACCGAGGGACCGTCAACATGGCATTCGCACCAAGTGCCTGGGGCCCCTTCTCCGAGTATGCTGTTGCGCGTGTGGGGAACAATGTGCCAGGAGGATACTATGGGCTGCAAATTGGCTCGCTGGTTGGCATACTTGTCAGCCTATACGACGCTGCACTGAAGAAGTAGGCGCTGGCTGGTCTAGACAATGAATATCAACTACCTACGTGCGCAATAGTCTGGTGATACTTGTGTGCTCAACGGCGTTTGGATACACTATACCTTGGATCTTGGGGATGCAACCGCCCTGTATCTGGATGCAGAGGCCAGGGCAGGCGTTGAAGGCCGGGAACGAAGAGTTCGCTGGGCATTCTGGGATAACTCGTTGCCTAATTTATTCTTTATTCAATGAACCAATACCGACTTGAATTGACCTCTGGAAAGCAGCGACCACGAGGCACTCGGACACCTCGGCTGTCGCGAGATCCAAGACCCTGAAACTTGTGTGGGGACGGTCGCGCCTGCTATCGATAGCCCCAAGCGCGAAAAGACCACGCCATCACCCCTCTTCCGCTGCTAACATTGAGCAACTCAATACTGCCTAACCTAATTGTTCTACATATACTTGCTTTATCTACATATCCTAATCGAACTACTTACGAGATGTCGGCCAAATTCATGCAGATGTTGCAGAATATGCAGCAGCGATCGAACCGGTATCTAGCACAAGGCACCATTTAAACGCGCATTGAAGTACTGACGCGTAGATTTCCAGGACTGTGGAAGACATGCGAGACTCTGATGACAAGCTCGCGGGTATGGACGGTATGGAGCTTCGTGGATGGACCCAACAGAATCCTACAGTGCCTAGCCGCGACCTCACAGATCCAGTCGGGCAGACCATTCTTGCTGTTTTCAACAAAGAATTTGATGCGCTTCAGAATTACTGCGAAATGATGATCAAGCAACTCGGAGGAACCGAGGAAGCTCGCGAGACTGTCAGACAAGATGTATATTCGAAAAAATGGGGTCCCACCAAAACGCCCATCTACTCAGTCCTATTGCCAGCGCTACATATGCTCCCCAACAACAAGCAAGATCTTTTAGGCGTTGTCAGATATCTAGTCAACGATCTCAAAGTACCAGTCGACGGAAGAGATGTCGTAGGCAGCACAGCACTCTTCTGGGCAATCTCAACCAAACCCTACGTACAACCAGAATTCGCCCAAATTCTCTTCGATGCCGGAGCTTCTGTCAACACTAAGAACCGTTTTGATGCCACCCCGGGCGCCGAAATCGCTCAAGCCGACATTCACGGCGACACGACCAAGAACGTGCAGATGATGAAGTGGTACATTGAGCATGGCGGAGACGTCGTTGCTAAAGACACAGATGGAATGAATATCAAGACCATAGTCGAAATGATGGGTCAAAAGGTGCCGGCTATGACTGAGGTTCTGAAGAGCGGACATGGCCCAAGGAAAGAGGGAGATTGCACTAATTGTGGGAGGAGCCCGAAGGACGGCAAGCCCTTTCCGGCATGTGCAACCTGTAAAAAGGCGAGGTATTGCTCGCAGGAATGTCAAAAGGTGGATTGGAGGGTGCACAAGAAGACTTGCAAGGCTTCGTAGAGTGTATGGGACGACGGCAGAGGCGGGGACAGATAGTGCTCGAGCATTTCGTTCTTTTGTGCGCGTAAGGAAGAGGCAATAGCTATGCGTACGAAGGAGCTTGTATCTTCAAGTTATATCTCTACAGCAGATACTCACTAAAAGTATAGATATAATTCTACGTTAAAAGTTTATCAAGATGGTAGCAATGTCTATGTTTTGGGTACAACTTAAAGACAACGAGCTTCTTCGTATCGCGAAGCGTTGGGTCTTGACGTCGCTGGCTACGAAGAGTGACCCTCTCGAAGATGGTAGCGGAAAGCAGTTCAGAATGACAGTAATTCTGCCAAATCAAGGCGGTTAAAGCCACAACAAGACGAGTTATGTGGTACAAGGCATGCAGCTTCTATCAAGCACTGCATGTAGTCGGAAAGTGGGGCATCAGGAAGCGCTAGCATGCATGCAGTATGATGACTACGTCACGCGTAATGATCTGACCGCCATCCTTAAAGTCATGTATCCTTGTCCAAACATTCTTTAGCTGGTGATTACTGTTTTCTCGAAAGGTTTCTGAGTCGTAACAGAATTACTCAAGATGCGATTGAATCCGAATGGGGACGCATCGACCTTCCCTAAACGTTCGGCCTTGCCACACATTGCTGGCACACCAAAGGACAATGCTTGGTTTTGGGTGAGACATCTCTTTCACAAACTTCACATAAAACATACACTAACTTTATCTATCAATATCTCAGGGCGGCAACGACGAACTCGGTCGATTAAACCTCCTCACCCCACAGCGAATAGCAAAAACCACACAAGAAAATGTCAAAACGGGAGAATCAGTATCACTGGACTTGCCATTGAACGTTCCCGGCCCAGCCTTCTTTGGACGAAAAGGATTGAAACATCGCATCAAGAACATAGCCCCCGGCGCTTTCGATGATGAACTAGCATTCAACACGCAGAGCAGTAGCCAGTGGGATGGCTTCCGCCATTTCGCGCATCCAACATATAACTGCCATTACAACGGCGTTATCTCTGACGAAATAATGGCCGATTTAGACGGCGATAGAGAAGATGGCGAAGAAGCACCTGAGCGCTCAAGAAAGCTCGGCATCGATGCCTGGGCTAAGAAAGGCATTATAGGCCGCGGTATCCTCCTCGACGTATACTCTTGGGTCCAGAAGTCGGGCAAAGCATATGATCCTTTCACCAAACACTCCATAACAGCCGATGATCTTCGTGAATGTGCAGAGTCACAAGGCACGTCGTTTCAAACCGGTGACATACTCCTAATACGCACTGGATGGCTTTCAACATACAATGCCCTCTCTATCGCCCAGAAATCTGAGCGCAGCACCATGCCACTAGATCAACACTTTTACGCTGGTCTCGATGCCACAGATCCCATGAAAGATTTCTTATATGACAACTACTTTGCGGCTGCTGCGACAGATAACGCCAATTTTGAGGTTTGGCCGCCGGAAAGCTGGGAGGGGAGTCTACATGCAAGTATGCTTAGCATGTGGGGCATGCCGATCGGAGAGCTTTGGAATTTCGAAACGCTGGCGGAGATGTGCTGGGAGAAGGGGAGGTGGGAGTTTTTGGTTGTCAGTAAACCGGTTGACGTACCTGGGGGTGTTGGGAGCTTGCCGAATGCGGTTGCGATATTCTGAGGTGAAGGTTCGTTGTATGGATACCCAAATTGGATGTTGTTGATGTTTTCATGACCTTCTCATACGTTAGGATTGCTCTTGTGGTAGTTAGAGCGGTTGTCTGTCTTGTTGGATCTGTACTCATTTTACTAATGTGCACATTCATTTGTTGGAGGCCCCATCTATCTACCGATATCTTACACGACAAACATGATATTTACCACGAGAACCTCTTCAAGTATGGAAATCCCAAACGCTTTCAAGGAGGCCGTTTGGTGACGTATAAATCATGTCGTCTTGGATGGGATTGGAGGCTGGCGAGATTCCGCACTAGTAGGCTGTGGGGAAGCAGCCATCGAATACGCGACCTGATCGCGACCGCGCGAACCCATCCTCACACTACATCACCTGCATGAACGCGACATCGCCCAAAACAGTACGCTCCACGACGATCTTTTCGCGTAAGTTTACCCATCGTCTTCGATGCATTATGTAGCGCGTATGGCATACTCTCAGTCTTAAGCTCTTTTGCGTGTCGCTGCGCCCTTCGTTCTACAGCACTACGTCATCGACTGTCGCGTTTGAACACTGAGTTCCGAGCCTTTCTATCCTCCACAGACACAATAACATCCTGCCGCATCATCACACCTTCTTGCTCATCCGGACCAAATAGGCTCGACGTGCTGGCATGTTCGTCGGTAGTTGCCCCCATTGTGAGCGACTGCCAATCGGGATGCAGATGCCTGCACGGCATTTTTCTTCTTTTCTCTGTCCCTTTCGATGACACAGTTACCGTAAAGTCTCCCAGGTCAGAAGGCACCAGTTTCGGATTCGTACTACGCGAATCTTGCCAGGTTGAAGATTTGCGAGAGACCGAGAGTTCAGTGCCTTGGATCTCCGGATATACCAGGCCGCTGCCACCAACGCCAATGATACGCTTGATTCGTGGAACGCTTGCGAGTATCAGGGAAAGACTGGACACAGATCTGGTACCCGTAAGCTTTGGAAACACTCAAATGGATTGAACTTACTGAGTCAGGACGACAAGCTCAACTGCATCGCCTGCGTCTCGTCAGATTCCTGGCGCTTGGTGTCTGTCAAGATTACTTACGCGTGGGATTTTGACTAGATGCTAACCTCAAAGTGGCCCATATTTCACCTCCAGCAACGAATGCTACACTGCAGAGTCAAAACCGCGACGTATTGGTGACCAGCCTATCAGACATACATTGCTCGAACACCGAAGAGCGTCGCTGCTGCGAAGCTTTTCTCTTTGTCCAACGACAATTTCCAAAGGACCGGAACCATCCAAAAAGCCAAGAAAAGGTCTGTAGTCATGTTGAGTCCTACGACTGCGATCGCAAGGCCACCATTGCTACATCGTAGCGAATGTGCAGTCCATTCCGGGATTCCGCATTGGAAAGAGAGAGCAAAGATCGAGAATATCGCAAAGATCGTAATCATGCCGAATAGTATAATTTTGGCTCTTCGGGTTTGTGGGACGACGCGTTCGATGAGCAAAGCAGACGACAGCTTTGCGAATACCATCGCAAAGATTACGAGTATCCCGGCAATGTAGGATGCCTATGATCGCTGATTAGTATTGAAGAGCAATTGGCGACGGAGCGGTCAACCTTGAAGAACAAAGAGATGTTCTCGTCACTGAGATCTTTCACGTCCTTTCCTAAACCACCGCGGATGGCGTATTGCCAACCAACAGTCGCGCCTAGATACACAATCTATGGCGAGGTCAGTATTGTTCGTTCTCTGGAGAGTTGGACTGTCCTACAGTCGCCGCAATGATTGCTACGTCGTCAAGACCGGCTTCGACCTTTTGGCTACGACTCTGCCAGAACCGCGCGACCAGCACGCCTGCTGTTACGATCGCCCATGCATACGTGGAGACGAGGATGAAGCCACCCCTTGTCGTTGTGGCGATGCCACGACCTTCATCCGAACCTGCGGGTACCATTGTGTAAAACCGACAAAATAGTAACGAACATGGAGCCGTGTGGGAACCGACTGTGGGGAAACTGAATAGATTATGCTAATCGTTGAAGTATACGTGGAAATCGGATCCGAGGAATGCGCAGCTTATGCTGACCGTTGAAGTAAACGTCCCGCATGGCTCCGTCTCACTTTCATCGCACCGACTCTCAGCCACGCACTCGGACAGATGTTGGGTACGTATTTGAGACTATCAACCCAAAAGTATACCCCATGGTTGGGCTTCCAACACGAGCCGTTTGGAGGAGGAATATCATTGGTGTGTTTCCATGATCTTTGAATCCGCCGCATGCTTACTGTCTGTGCATATGCATAGCGGCTAACCCGTTTTCTGCAATCCCCATGTCTATCCGTTGCGCATATCCAAGCCGTACCTCGCTAAAGCGCCTGCTGACGACTCCAACATCACAATCTGCGCGAGGCGTGTCCTAAAGCAGTGCATCCCTTCTCGTTGAGCGGTTATAGCCTCACTGTTGGAAGATGAGATGTTGTCACAGATGGCGTGGGTCCTTCGCCTAGGTAAGCTTGATGGCAATTAGTGAAGCGGAACAGTTCGCTCAACCCTATCTCGATTACTTTTAGATGAGCCCGAGTCGGTGGTATCGCGTACGGACCCCGCAGCACGTTACGTGCAAAAGGAGCCAAATTGCCGTTATTCGCTCCGGACACCATGCGGGCGGCCCCGGGCCCACGCGAGCCTATTTGCTGGAGCAAATACAAATCCCGCGCCCATGCGACGAACGACACGAACATACCCTTATGAGACGCGTGCCGCGTCGGATTTAGCCTTTTGAGTGTAGCGATGCCGGAAAACTGACCCATAACAGGAACGGGTCATTAATTGAGCTTGATAACATACCCTGCATATATTATCAGGCCCATTCATAGCTGCTCTGGCTAGACAACCCAGTGGATGGGTTACCAATCATCATGATCTGTTGTGTAACGCAGCTCAGAGTCCCTGGTGGACACTTTGCAACGTCTTCTCTTTTCTCCGCAGTTCCGCACGTTGCACACTGACCACTGACCACTGACCACTGACCACCGATTTGGGCCCTTTGTGTGCAAGCATGGAGCTCAGCACCTACAAGCCGGATGCTGACCTCGATGTCGCAGAGCGAGGATCCGGCCAGAGTGAAAAACTTGGAGTAACTCCCCCAAATGCGCCTGTAGGAGGACGGACGTCAAACCAGCTCGAAGTAAGTATCATATGACCTGCTTGACCAAGGAGCGTCATTGACGAAAACAGAGGTACATAAACCTTTCTGCTGTGATTAATTTCGCTGTTATTATTCTCGCTTCATGGGAATCATTTGCAGTGACCTTTCAGTTCGCCTTGACCAACGGTGGCCCGGCCTCTATCTTCTACGGTAGTATCTTGGCGGGTATTGGTGCTTGTGCTGTCGGTTTCTCGCTGGCAGAGCTGGCTTCGATGTATGTCTCTACCAACAGATCCAGACTCCTGTTAATTTCTCAACAGCGATCCAACCGTCGGTGCTCAGTACCGCTGGTCAGCCAATCTCGCTCCTGCTGCCCCTCGCTTTTGGGGATTATTACAAGGTAGGTCCACGTACCCAACCATACCTACCAGAGCTCATACTACAACAGGATGGATCACTGTTGGTGCCTGGTGTTTCGCTTGTGCCGGACCGCCTTCCATTCTTGCAAATATGATCACATCGTTGGCAATCTTTAACAACGAGAATTATATCCCTGAGAGATGGCATACCAGTCTTATCATGATTGCGATCATGATTATCCCCTTCACATTCAATCTTTGGTTCCGAAAGCTTCTTGACGCATTTGAAATCACAGGTGGCATACTCCACATATGCCTCTTCGTTGTGGTAATTGTCGTCTTTGTTGTATTTGGACCGCGCAGCGACCCTGAATTTGTCTTCAAGACACTGACATGGCAAGAGTCTGGTTGGAACAATAAGGGTGTGTCTTGGGGTCTCGGCCTTCTGAGTATGACATTTTCCGTCACTGGAGCCGACAGTGTTCTGCACATGTGTACGTCTATGTATCCTGACATGGCGCTACTTCGCTGATTAGCTGTGTAGGCGATGAAGTCAAGAAAGTGCGCACGCGTGTGCCGCGCAGTATCATCATCACATGTGTCGCGAACTCAGTCATGCTGGTCATCTTTGCTACCATCCTCTTGTTCTACATGGGCCCACTCGATGATGTCGTCGCTACGCCACTTCCACTGCTATGGGTCATCTACAACATCACTGGCTCATCAGTGGCAGCCAATGTTCTCACTGCGCTCATAGCGGTGATTTTCTTCTTCGCGCTCTTCAACATCTTTGCTTCAGTCTCGAGACTAGTGTGGGTGTTTGCTCGCGATAACGGCCTGCCTTTTTCCAACTTCTTCTCATACGTATGTAGCCTGCTCGGCTTCGCTTGTTGCGCTGACTGACAACATTAGGTCCATCCTACGCTCAAACTTCCAGTCAATGCTCTTCTCCTCGTCGGGACTATCGTAACCTGTCTGTCCCTGATCTATATCGCCAGCGCAACCGCCTTTAACGCGCTCATCTCCCTCCAAGCATTCGCCCTCCATATATCTTACTTCTTTCCGATTCTGTTCATGCTGCTGCGCAAGATTCGAGGGCCATCTCCGCCATACGGACCATTTAGAATGGGTGTTATCGGTCTACCCGTCAATATGTTTGCGCTATGTTACCTAGTTTTCGTCGTCCTTTGGATGCCGTTTCCACAGGTTTTGCCGGTCACAGGAGATAACATGAACTATGCAGGGCCCATATTCGGTGCTGTAGTGCTCGGGGCCCTCGCGCATTGGTTCATTAGTGGGCATAAGACGTTTAAGATGCCCGTCATCCGGTATGAGTAGGAATAGAGTTTTAACAAGTCTGATTGTACTGGATTCGTTGTTCGGTATGATGCAGATTTGGGAGTAAGATCAATCGGCAACTAAGTGTCGTGTAAATAGAAGAAATGAGAAGCAAGGGTTGTCTCTTATACGGCATTAGCTTTTCTCCTATTGGTTGGGGTGCCACACGGGTAGCCATCCGGCGCAGGGCGGGATCCCCAGCTCCATACACCCTTCGTCACACCGACTGGCTAGCGTACCCCGCCACACACCTGCATATGGCCGCGCCGTAACGTGATCGGGGGAGTGGATATGGAGAAGCAGCAATGAAGGACGTCTCGGCGGTTTGTCTGTTTGTTGTGTAAAATACCCGAAACCCGCATGATTGGCCTTCTCTACAGCGATCTTCGCCTTTGCGAAGGTTGTTTACTCGCGTTACACAGGGCTGACGGGACGACGTCAGATGCTGACGGCTTCAATGTATAAGGAGAGTGGGCAGAAGGAGTGTGAGGACAGTGTGTATAGAATAGACCCTGATATTTCATATTCAGCTACTTTACCGGACGCATTACCACTTGCTCAATCCTCGTACGCCTGTATTCCTATATCAAACTTGGCCTACAATGGCTCCAACCCTTCCTCCTATGCCGTTACCCGGCCTCATTATAGTCCCTGGTTGGACGGCTCAGCACCAAGAGACCTTTCTCATGAAGAACGAAGACACCCCCAAGGGCAAGTGTCAAAGTTTGGTCAGCTATCTCACACCCGAAGGTAAAGCTGGAGCTCCATTTCTTCAGATCAAAGAAGAAGATTCAGATGTCATCCTATTCAGGACGATGGAAGGACAAGAGGCGATGCGGATCAATGTTGAGAGACACAACATCAAGCTCAAAACTGAGTATAGGGCACTGCGGAGTGCGGATGCGAAGGCGATATGGGATGTCCATCTGAGGATCTCATGGAGAGTGCCTAAATGGGGTATGCCGTTTCCTCGATCATCTTTGCTCCTCCTGAGTCCCTTCTCCCGACTAACGTTCGTTCTTATTAGACCTCACAGTCCATGACAAGTACCTCGAAAACCAGAATATCGAGTTCGAGAAAGACGTCGCCGGTGAAGAGAAGGGTCTCCTCGCCAATGGTAATCCAATTATGACTGTCTCTCGACATGCCAAGTGGGCGCATCGGCATGCCGAATGGGAGGTTCATGTAGCGCCGGGTATGGATCTCTTGTTAGCGCTAGGCATGGCATGGATCCGGTCAGACCAGCAGAAGACAGCCGATGCCGCATCGGGCACGGTCATCATGTTTTAGAAGGACCAGCTTGAGAAGGTATGCCTTGAAAGTGGCAGGACGTTTTTCATGTATCAGAAACATCGTGTCTCTTACTCATCCAGAGTTGTCGCGACTCCACATTCTAGCCATTCCCTTGGAGATGTTCGCGCGCTCGTGTGAGTATGATCGCTCGGGTAGGCATCCGATCGTTGGTAATGCTGTGACTTCATCCCCTAAGACGCTTTGTCTATCGTGAGACTTGACCATAGCGTCCGGAACTTCGCGTAGTTCTACGGCATTCTTTTGTTGACCATATGGAGGTCGGGAGAGTACAACACCCGCATCACTGTAATTACTCATCGCAGAATTCAGGCGGCGGGAGCCAGTTCGCGCGTGTGAGAAGTGTGAAGTGAGGGGTGATGTTGCAACCCAAGACCAGCGACCGCTCATGATACTCTTCCTGGGCCCGAGCTGAGACTCACTCTGGTCGGCCCCCAGCGAGATCCAACTCCAGCCCGAAGGTTTGCGCCATTCCTTCTGGGACGGTCGTGCTACCGGAAGTCCTTGCTTTGGATCCGAGTTACTCTGCTTCGATTGCTTCGAAGGATGGGTAACATAGGAAAGAAATTCTTTGACACTTTCAGGCAACAGTTTAACCACTAATACCCGGATGGATGGTAGCGATACGCAAACGAAGCCTGCCGCAAGCTCGAGCTCCGTCCAGATAGTGACAGGAACGTAATCCCAAGTGGGATCCATAGAAATCTTGAACTTCGTCAAGGTGTGGAGACGAATAATAGTTGCGACGCACCCGAAAGTGCCGATGGCAAACATGAAGCCTACCGCAGCCTTGCGATAACGTTTCATCTGCAGCTTTCGGATGAAGAACAATGGTAGGACCAGTAGAATAATGTCTTGCGCAATGGCACTTGCGGAGTTTGCGTATGCGATGGCCTGGAGGTCCAAACACTTTCCTTTTATATCTCGATTCCAGAAGGACTCGACCGGGTCGCATATGAAGACCGTCAAGAAAAAGATTATAGTCGAGTTGATGATGATTGCGGTCAAAACAACATAAGCGGTGATTCGAAAACTTGTTGTATGGAAGATTTCGAGGTAGAAGAGGACGAGGGAAACCTTGATGAGGCCAAGAACGATCACATAGGTCGACCAGCATATAAAGACTGGCTTCTATTAGCATACTGATGCTTCCGAAGACAGCAGGCATCATGGAACGTACAGAACCGGAGAATGGGTAGCAACGCTCCATCTTCGAGATTCCACAAATGCTCACCAAAGCCTCGTTCAGTCACTATATTGTGTTAGCTGTGGCCTACGCTAGGTGGCGACTGTGTCAACTTACTGGCGAGGGCGCATCCTACAGGCAGTGCGCAAAATACGATGGCACAGACAACAATATAGTCGTCCAACGCCAGCCTTTTGTTTACCAGCTTTCCTGCGATTCGAAGGCATACAAAGACGACGGCTATGGAATAAATGATGCCAGTCCACATGAAGATGTCGAGCCGCTGCGACTCTTTAGAGAGATTGCAAAGATCGGCCTGGACCCTGGCAGTCTCCAAACTGTCCTGCATGGTGCAGTTCGCAAGCATACATGTCGACACTTTTGCTGCAATCTCGGTATTGCTGCAGATACATGCGGTATCATCTAGGGCACAGCCACTTGTGGGAACAGTGGATATCATGCAGAGAAGCTACATATTGTTAGCAGTAATACCAGACAATGTAGTCAACCACGTACTCCGCATGCGGGGATATCAGCAATGCCCAATTCCCTTGTATCCATGTAAGTGCCCGACGCATGTACATGGCTGAAGGTCAGAACCAAACAAATGACTGAAATCAGCGCATAAAGATGCATGTTGCGAATGGTGGCCGCACGAGATGGTAAAGCAGACAAAACATGAAGTCTGGTTAGCAGCACCAGCGAGTTTTCATCAAGACGGATGGCGAATCAGTCTAGGAGATGCGGTGCATTCCAGTGCTGTCAAACTATGTCTTCAAATCTCCTATCGGAGATGGCTTGGAAAGCGTGTTTGGGCTCAGTGTAGTGCTCCGATATTGGAGCCAATCATGTAGGATGGCCATTCCACCATAGCGCGACCAAGATGTTGTACTTCGAGTAGTCTTGCGCCGTCGTAACGGCTTGACTCAGGATTAACCACGGCACATTGTCATGCAAACCAACGCCGTCGGCAGTCGTTGAGACCATTGCGCATTAACCACAGCCACCTAGTCCTCTGCTGCAGGGACAAAGCTTGCGTGGCCAGTCTAACGGCGCTTCTCGGCTGTCCGCATCTTTGCCACGCGATATTCGCATGGCTCTACTGGTTAGTGTTATGACTGATGGCGTTCCGGAGACAAAGAAGGTTTGCGCTACATGAAGCTGTGGACGGAGTTTGCCATGCACAGTATCTTCACGCAACGAAAGACGTACGGCCCGTTAGGGGCGTGGCAGATCGAGTGCGACGCGACACGTCTATCAACATTGCGAAGACGGGCAAGCAAATCGAATTGTCAACGTTGCAATGGCGACACAGCGGCTTTACTTCAGGACGCGCAAGGGAGGTGAAGTTTGTGCGGGAAGGTTGAAACACGAGGGGTTGGGGAAAGGAGGATTTCATGTGCTTACATCATCGCCAAGGTCAATCCGGGGAAATGCTGCGCCCCCAGTTCACATGCATGCAGCTCGGCACTTTGCCGTGCAGTTTCATCGAAGTTTGCGCAAAACTTAACTGACAACCGCTAATTATGGGCTGATCGCCACATGCATAAGTTCATGGATCTCCAGCTGTCAAAACCTTGATAGGTTAGAGACCCCGGAGCAGGTGACCTCCCACTGTCCGTGCTGTGCTCGCGCCGAATCTTCATAGGTATTGGAACCGCTCGCGACACTCAATGCAATTGTGCTGATCGTCTTGCACCGAACCGAAAGTTTTGCGCCAGCTCTCAAGTTTGGTACGTTCCTCCGAGATAGCTTCACATGTGTGCAATAGCATTCGAGGGAACTGCACCATCGTCGCTCTGTTCGGCTCATCACCAGCCTCCTGCACGCGTCCACCAACTGTCACGTATCAATATCAGCCAACGAACGGTCCTGAAAGCATCATTCACACCGCTCAAGTGCGACGCGCACATGTGTCTTGGTCTAGGTGATACCTGGATAAGGGAACGATGCAAGACAAAGACAGCAGGGCGGGGCAATGCGCTCGACGCGTCGAGTGGCAGACGGTGCCATTAACTGGAATAACCGCTGCGCTCTAGCCACATCGAGGACTACTCCTATGCTACTCCGATTCAGACATGCGGGAGAGCTCACACAAGGTTGAAGACCGTCTGCTCCTAGGGCTATCGCGCTTTCTGAACCCCCAAAGCTGGACTCCTTGACACGTATCGTCGATCTTTGGCTTCTGGAGATACCCCGCAACTTTCACCATGATCGCAGCTTCATTGCAGAAGTGCTCCGGAGTCCGCTCTGGCAGAGCCTAGATGCACATTGGTGCGATCTGGCCATGCCTAAAAGGCTTCAGGAGTATAAGAACTGCTTTAGTGCTATGCTTTCGCTACTCAGTCACAGATTCAGACATATTAAGCATTTATTGTAGCGATCTAGGGCTTATACCAGACTAAAGCCAACGCTGAAGGGTGTCTGCGTGCACGAGATGATAGATGCGCTATTCGGGCGCGTCTTTGGGCTGAGGCGTAGGCATTGGAGACGACGATGTTTGTTTGGTGGTATGAATATGGGGCTTGCCGTTTTGTTGCCATGCTCGTCCAGATCGACTAGGTTGTTTGGCGCCCATCGACTAAAGAGGTAGAGATACAAGGTCAGTACATGTTTCGTATGCATTTCGTGGAGTTGCACCTTAACTATGGGCCAGGAGAAGAGACGCTCGGTCGAAGGTTGGAGTTCGGGCAAAGGAGAAATCCAGTCTCGTCTTCGTAGTGAACCTAACTTGCTAATCAGCTTTCTTGCATACGAGAATGGAAGAGGTCATAGTCAACAAAGTCATGCTCAGTTTAGCATCGAGGACATTTTTTGGAATGGAAACTAATCGCATTTCTCGGCCACAGATAATGCTGGGAAGCTCTGTCCAAGACCTCGATGATGTGAAGAAGCTTGCCGAAAGCGGAACGCAAGCAGACGCCATGGCGGTGATCGTCAAGATCCGAGCGGGTATCGCCGCGATCAAATATCTAAACCATCAGAACCCACCCAATGTCAATGGTCGCCTGACTGCGATTGTCAACAATGTTGGCGCTCAGTTTCGAGCTTCGCAGAATGCCCACAACGCTGCATTTCCCAACGACCCAACAACGATCGGCGACTTCTGGTTCGAGTGAATCAGGGCGCTTTACCCAGCGGCTATTACGCACACTAGAACGTGGGCCACGGAAGCCATACGACTATTGCGCGAAACATGGGACAATAGTGCCGACGCTGGGGCTCAAGAGATTCTTGACTTTCTGACAGCATACGAGGGGGATCTGGAAAGTTTGGAGATTGATACGTCATCGATGCAGTAGTTGAAGAGAGTGGTCCTCGTGCAACTCGCGATGCTTGGTTGTATTGGTGGTTTGGTGTTACACATGGTGCTTGCATTGATAGATAGGTGATACATACTGGCCATAATGCCTTGAGAGATCTCAAGATCCTCACGTTAACCTGGTAGAATGGCGGCTGTAATGTGGCAATACAACTTTATCCCACCTTCTTTAGACGGTAGCTGAATATCAGGTCGTGATAACATGTAAGATTTCCATTAGGTGGTTTGCACGTCTCTCCATTGAGGACAGCCGATGGCTGTTACAGCTATACGAAACACCTATTTCGCTCTCTGCATGCAGCATGTGTCAACAACAGATGTAAAACCAACGAAATATGACCATCAGTTTGCAAAGCCACTCGGCTACAGTTTGCATCCAGCACAGCGGCAGTGCGCTATGAGGTGGACTTGGCCCATCATCATTTGTCTGGGTCCCACCAGGCGCCTGGGCCACCAGCTGTACTATTGCCGATTTCCTCGAAGAAATACATTTCCAATTCAAACCACAAACTCAATACGCGTTCGGAAGACATGGTTAACCACCCATAGTAACGCTGTGGGCCGAATCTCGGATTCTTTGGCACAGCAGCAACCGCGTCGTAATCCGCCGCTACACACTTGATCATGCCAAGCTCAGGGCTCGCCAGAACGTCTGCGTCGACTAGGATAAAGATTCGCCATGGACCCTTGTCTTTGTTCAACGGCTGGCCTCCAGTTCCATCGTGGTAAAGCTGCCGTACTTCTTCAAGTGTCAAGCCGTCCAAGACTGCGGGATCTGAACGAGCATCCAGTCTGAAGAGTTCCTCCGCTTTAGCAATCATAGCAGGGTCTTCATTCGATCCTCTATGTGCGTCGAGTCGATGCTTGACACTAGTGGCGATTTTCTGTAGCAGCTTGTCCCATTGCTCATCAGATCCAGGTCCATAATACGTCCGATAGATGGTAAAGCCCCAAGGTTGGAGGTAATCGTCAAGCTTTGACTGCTCTATGCTTTCACCCTCGGGCAGCTTACGCAGGCTGTCAACAAATTTGGTGATCCTGGGTTGCCTCTGCATGGTGGCGTTGGCAAATGTGTCGTGAGGCGGGTTAGGCGGCCAGGCCGATTTCGCGCGGATTGCTGGAAAATTTGCAATGGGAAAAGGATAGCTTGACGATCAATTGCTTTCGCTGCTTTTCTCCAGCAATCGCCTGTTACCGATCGTCGAGTGTGATATCGCGCCACTTGCAAGTTTCGTCGGCTAGAGCCAGATAACAGGAGCCGTAGGCGCCATTGTTATCGAGCTCTTTGTTATCTCTTTGCAATGAGCTGTATTGTGATCACTGTTTTGTTCTTGGTAGTTCCGACGCGAATGTGGCGCAGGCGCAGGCCTACAATCGGTTGCGACATATTCAAGAGTGCTGTGCACGATAAAGATTGAGTTTGGGAATAAAGAAAGTAGAAACGATATAGTATGCAAGATTGGGGTGGACAGTGCAAGGGTTGAAGTAGTGAGATGAATGTTGATATACAAAGTCACAAGGCATGAGAGGCAAATGTTCTGAAGTATTGGGGGAATCTATTCTCTATCTTGTACGAGATGGAATCAGATGAAGGGAAACCATGCAAGTTTTGTACCGTGACGCCGACCATGAACACATTACTCGTAGGCTCATATCGAATAAGCCTGTCATGCAACCCATGAACTCTCTTGCCGTAAACCAGAACCAGGAAGGAAACTTTTCGAAAAGGGCGATCCGTTTAATCGTCCTCGTCGGAGAAGACCTCCTCACCACGCTTGCGGCGGGCCATGCGGTCCTTCTTCTTCTTGCGCATCTCAGAGGAGGTGAGCTTGGCCTTCTTCTTTTGCCTGTTAAAAGTTAGTTGGACTTGTATCATGACTCTGGAGATAAGGGAACTCACGAGGCAATTTTGTTACCCTGTTGGTAGTAAGTCAGCATAAGTTCAGATAAGATAAGATGGGAGGGGAAGGGGGGGGGGGGAGACGCAGTACCATGGCATCGAACTGAAACGTTAAGTTAGCATATATTATACAGTATATTGAGTGGATGGATGACTTACCTTCTCCTCTTCTTCACCATCGTCCTTGGCAAGACGGGGACCGGCACCCTGACCTTGCACCCAGTTGTGACCGGAAGGTGTCATGCGACCGTCCATGACGGCCCAGACTTCCTCAGTGAGGTTGGCAGTGAACTCGGCAGAGTGAGTAATGATGATAACACCACCCTCGAAGGTCTTGATGGCCTTGGAAAGGGCACCAAGGGAGTCACGGTCGAGGTAGTTAGTGGGCTCGTCAAGAACGATCAAGTGAGGACGCTGCCATGAGCAAGCAGACAGGACGACCTTGACACGCTGACCACCGGAGAGACCGCGCATACGGGAGTGAGAAACAAGCTCAGCGTCAAGACCAAAGTTGGCGCAGTGAGCCTCAATCTCCTTACGGACCAGAGGACGGAACTGACCGCTGGCAAGAGCCTCCTTCTGGTCAACCTCGGCGACCATCTTGGCGTGGGAAGCCATGATCTCGGAACGGGGAATCCAGGCGTTGTCAGCAGACATCATGGGTGTCCAGCGCTCGTTCTTCATGCCGACGTTCTCTCCGAGAGCGAACGAACACTCGTACTCGTAAGAGTTCTTGAACTTCCTGCGGGAGTTGATGCCGATGACGCGACGCTCGGTACCCTCGATCTTGTAGATCTTGTCCATGGCCTTCTCGTCCTCCTCAGTGACGATCTTGTTGGCACGGTCCATGGTCTCACGGTCCTCACCAGTCTGGAAACGCCATTGAATGTACTCGGAGGGAGTCTTGTCGAGGTGGTGGTCGATATGGGCGAAAGCGTGCTGCTTAATGTAGGCGATACGGATGTTCTCGTGGTGGTAGATCTCACCCTTGGTGGGGACAAGCTCACCAGTCAAGACGTTGACAAGGGTGGACTTTCCGGCACCGTTGGGACCAATGACGGCAATACGGGATCCGAGCGAACATTGGAAGGTAATGTCCTCAATCTGGGGCTTGGAGGTACCCTCGTACTGGAAGCTCATGTTGGTGGCACGGAGAATGGCCTTGGCCTTGGTCTTGACACCCTCAAGGAAACCGGGCTCGGGGAACTTGAACTCCATGTCGGAGGCAGCCAACTCGTGGTAAGACTTGGCAGAGGGCACACGCTTGACGAAGTCGTCAAGGTTACCACGGTAGCGCTTGAGCTTGAAGCGCTCGTAGTGGATGACGTGCTGAATGACGTTGTTCAAGAACTTGCTGTCGTGGGAGATGACAATGGATGTGCAAGGAGAGCTGGTGAGGTAGTCCTCGAGCCACTTGACGTTCTTGACGTCCAAGTGGTTGGTGGGCTCGTCGAGCAACAGAATGTCGGGCTTCTCGAAGACGGCACGAGCGAGCGCAAGCTTCATCTTCCATCCACCAGAAAGGGCACCAATGGTACCGTTGTACATGGCGTCGGTGAAACCGAACTCGTTGAGGGTAGTCTTGACCTCAGACTCGGGGGTCTCGACACCGACGGCCTTGAGCTTGTTCATGGTCCACTCAAGAACGGTCATCTCAGTGTCAGCAGAGTCCAAGTCGTGCTCGACGTAGACGGTCTTGACCTCGTTTTGCTTGGGGAAACCCTCGACCTGCTCGTTGTTGATAGCGCGCATGAGAGTGGTCTTTCCGGAACCGTTGGGTCCGAGGAGACCGTAACGCTGACCACGCTTGAGACGGAGATGGGTCTGGTTGAGCAGAATCTTAGCACCGTAGGCCAAGTTGAATGTGCAGTTGCAGAGGTCCTCGCCCTCCTCCTCATCGGGCTCGACGGCGCGCTCAGCGGCGGCACCAGGGAGAGATCGCTTGCGGGTGTCCTCAGTGACCTCCTTGGCCTTCTCGTCGCCGACAAGGACGGCAACGAAAGGACCGGCGTTAGCCTGCCAGTTAAGAGGCTCGTAGTCCTTCTCGTCGATCAGCTGACCACCAATGGCACCAACGTAGTTGACGACAGGGGTGAAACGGTCGTCGATCTTGATGCTGGAGGGGATAGCAGCCTTGAGGTGGTTGGCGATGGTGGAGATGTCACCAGACTTCTCGATCTCAGGAGCCTTGCCGTTCTCGACGTGACCGACACGGATGAGGGTGTCGAGACCCTGGCGGGTCTTCTCACGAGCCTCGGGGTCAGCCAAGTTGTCGTGGTTCTTCTCAAGCGCGGGCATGAGACGGGGCAAGAAAGCGGCGACAATCTGGGGGTCCTCGACAAGCTTGCACATGTTGTCGATAATGACGGCAGACTTACGCTTGATGGCAGTCTCGCGCTCGACGAGACCACGCTCAAGCAGGGGAACCATGATAGCGAGGGTGGGCTCGTGGACGTCAGTGACGAAAGTGGTGGCACCGAGCAAGTGAACGGTCTCGGGGACGTTCTCAGGCTTAGCGATACACTTGATGAGCTCGGGAATGAAGCGCTCGATATCCTTGTTGGAGATCAAGGAGCAGAGAACCTCCATGGTGCCGTAGGCAGCCTTCTTGACCTCAGGCTTGGTGTCCCACATGGCACCCGAGATGACGGGAATCAGGTCGGGAACACGGAAAGCCATCTGTGCGGGGGCGCTCTTGGTGAGGACCTCGATGCACTTGAGGTCGGTCATCTTCTCGGGCCACTTTTGTGCGTTCTCCAGCGAGTGGATGATGTGGGGGATGATGGCCTTGACGGCGTTGGGGTTGGCAGCCATGACGATGGACTCGGCGGCGGTCTGAGCAGCGACCTTGACGCCGCTCATCTTGTCACCGACCGCGGCCAGCACGTCCGGCAGGAGGGAAACGAGGTAGGGCTCGACAGAGGCGGAGACGTGCGAGTGCTGGGCGATAGCACGGATGGCATCGAGAGCGCGCTCACGGGCGACGGCATCCTTCTTGCTGGCGAGTTGCTTCTTAAGCACCTGGACAGCCCTGGGAGAGTTGTTAGAGACTGCAACGTGGCAAGCGAGAGGCAGAAGGGGGGAACATACTTGGTGGGAGCGTCAGCCTCCTCAATGTCGCCGTTGATGAAGGTGGCGATGGCCTGAGCAGAGGCGTTGATCTCGTCCTGGGCCTTAGACACGGTCAACTTCTGCATCATCTCCTCAAGCGCCTTGAGCGACTTGGAGTTCTCGGACTTGATGTCCTTGGCATCGTGCGAAGCAGCAGGCGCCATTTTGTCGGTGATGTGTGGAGGGGGAGAGGTGTGTAGAAAGAAGGTGGGTGGAGGGGCGGTGGTCCTTATATGGACTTAGGCGGCGGGGCCTAAAAAACTTTTGGCGTGAAAAGATAGAGTGAATCTATCCGGGGGTATCAAACAACAGGCGCGAGAAACGTGACTCGCAACCTTTCTAATACCTGACGCAACGACACAAAGAAGGGAAAGTACTTTGGGTCAGCCCAGAGGGAGAGTGAGTGTGGAGAGGTGGCAGTAAAGGTTATGGAGGGGCTTTTTATGCCTTGGTGGGCTGTCTCGCTCGCTTTGAGAAATTTCTCCAGGCCAGGGCGCCGATAAGATTAGCGTGCACTCCAGGACTGGCCCGTGCGGCGAGGAACCGGACACCTCGCCTTCTCGCAATTGCCCATGATTTCATTCGAGCCCGAGCGAACGCCAGAGATTTCGCTGTTGCCGCACTTCCCCAGTTTTTTGTTACCACCTGCCAATTGCCCTCTCTATTTACTGGTGGCAGAGGGGCAGCAGCATTGCCGCCGCCGTGAGCCATGTCGCAGCCCACGTTGCAAAAGCCCTTCTATTTGTGGCGAGTTTGAGCCAGGCGCGCTGACCGCCTTCTCGAAACACCGTGACCAACGACATGCATCCAACCGTTGGGAGCCGCGGGAAATGCAGCGCTGAAGATCAGGGACTGCACTAATCCAACCCGACCGCCATTGTCAGCATTCACATAGTACTCATATCAAGCACGGCACCCGTATGTCCCATGTCTGCAAAATCTTCCATCTCGGTCGTTGAGCGCCGTAGAACTCAACTTTCTTCTAGCTCAGTCTACATACGGGTGTTCCCATACTATGCGGTAGCCTTGCCGGTTACTGTTCGTACAGCCTTGCCAAGTCGTCGCGCTACGGCCATTTTAGCGGAGGCTCCAGACTTATCCCAAACCACCTCCCCGATTCTGCCGAAGTCGAGGCGGCAAGCATTTCTGGACCCTTGCCACCTTGTCCAGACGTCCACCGAGCCATCACCGGGCAACACTCTGCCCAAAACATCAGAGAAGGCAATGTCTTCCGAGGCCGCGTCCACGCACAGCACATTACGTATCAAACTTGGCCCTTCCGCTGTTGCAGTACAGTGGTACAGCTCTCCCTAGCTACGGGATTAGTCATGGTATCTCTGCCCAGAGGCGATGCTGACTATATAGGCGGGAGAGTCAACCAACGATGCGATCTTAGCAACACAACATTCTCCCACAATGTCAACCTTCCGGACGTCGTGAATTGTCGCTTCAGCCATGCTGCGCTCCGGGCAGCCCCCACTTCTTATCGATACCCCGGATTTTGACATGTCAGAGTTGCTCACAGTACGCTTGTACCGATCCGTCACATCGCTAGTAGGCGTGTCTGCAGTAGATGTCGCGTCGACGCCAGGTTGTGTGAAGGATGTCGTGGATTGCGAGCTACCGCCCTACATGTGAATGTGGTGATTACTTATGCTTGTGCAGGTGTGTTGCAGTTAGATTCCATTTTCCTCAAGGCCGACTAAAGACATACGTCCTACTGAGTACAAGTCTTCAAATTGGAAGAAGCAATTAATACAATAAAGTCGGAGATCCTCATCCATGTTGATGTATGTTCTTTCGAAGAACTGTCTTCGCTTGAGGTCTTCACTTACTTCTGCTCTCGAGCCTTTCTGGTTCAGGCTCAATGTGTACATCTTATCGACAAAACCCGACTTGGCTGTCGTCTGCATATCTGCAGGATTGGACGACGACCACGAAGTTTGGTCTCGTGAACTTTAGTGTTTCAAACTGGCAGTAAGCCACTGGCTTTGGTGTTTCGCGGTTCGGCAGTAAGTAAGAAAAGAGGAAGACCACCGATATTCTGTTCGGCAGCGTACAGAGGCCTTTCTTCAAATCAATTCGCTTTGAGGTGCTTGATAGATTTTCATTTCTGAGTGTTCAGACTGATCGCGGACGGTTCTAGCACACAGTTTCTTCAGAAAAAGAGCTGAACTATACAAGACATGAGCATTAATGACGTGATTCTGGTCTGCCCAAACAGCGCTGAACATCATCGGATGCACTATTATATTTTTTTGATTAGGAAAGGCTGCTGGTAGGAAGAACAGTGGATGAGAAAGCAAAGGATGTAGGACTTTGTAGGGGTTTCTAGCAGGCAAAGCATGTATGTGACGGATACTACCAGCTTTTGGGGATGTTCAAATGACTATTGTTTCGGAATTAGCATACTCCAGATTATGCAACCATGAATTTGCCTGACACAGTCGCAAGCATCCAACATATGCTATCTGTTGAGTCTTTTGAGGTCATGTTGGAATTGATATCCCACTGATATTCGGTATCAAGGATCCAAAGTTGTACATTCCATCGATGGTGTCCCACCTTCTGAAAAAGCTCCAGTGATAGGACGATTTCATGAAGGGGTATACCGAGCGTTTCGCCGATAACCTTCTGAATACCCAGATTGAAGAGATGGAAGGAGTAAAGCAGGAGAGCTGTCGTCGTCCAAAGAAAACCCCTAAGCATTAGGCAACAAGATCGCAGTAGATCCGGCTGAAGTTAATCCCGCATCATTAGCAAGTCTTATACCTATTCGAGATGCCTCCAACCGCGTTTGTTGCGGTGAAAGTAATCTCAGCTGCGCGAGTGGAGCGAAGGATGGCCAGTGGTCAGTGCTGCGCCCCTCAGCCAAATCTCCGGTCATGTCCGAAGTCCACATCACCAAATCGCTCACAGCTCAGCCGCGATGAGACCCATGTCGAACCCATTAGGCATGACCGACGTTCGTAAACATGTGGCGCGCGCAGTCAGCGCCATGCGAGGACATGTCACACTTAAAGCGCGCGTGTGATGCCGCGATCGCACTGGCCCGACCATCTGCCATCCTGCCCCTCCCCCGCTGTAGACCCTACCGGCTATCTGCCACACTGCTTCTACCTAGACTTTGTTTACCCTGTTATTATTGAGACTTCTGGAAAGCACTTTCAAGAGCAACATGTCGGGTCAGGATTACTACGGTCAGGGCCAAGGCCACGGTCAAGGCTACGGCTACAGCCACGACAACGCATACCAGCAGCAGCAACAGCATGGCTATGGACAGCAGAATCAGGGCTACCCTCCGCAGGGCCAGGCGTATGGACAACAACCGCACGACCAGTACGGTCAAGGACACCATAGCCCTTACCCCCAAGGCCAGGTCAGCACTCTTGCGCTCCATCGGCGCATTCCATCTACCATGCTACAAGTGCTAATGTCCTCGCAGAGCCAGTACCCTCCACCATCGCACGATCCCTACGCGCAGCCTCCCCAACACGGCTATGGTGCCCCTCCGCAGGAGCAGTACCACCAGCAAGGCTACGACCCAAACCGCAGCACTTCTCCCTACCCACCGCAGCCACACCAGCAGCAAGGCTATCATGATCCCAACCAACAATATGGAGCGCATCAGCAACAGGGCTATCATGACCCACAACAAGGCTATGGTGCGCCAGCATATGGCCAACCCGGTGCGCCCGGCGGTCCAGCTGAAGGCGACCGTGGACTTGGTTCGTCCCTCTTGGGCGGCGCGGGGGGCGCATTCGTCGGCAACAAGCTTGGAGGCGGAGCGCTGGGCACGATAGGAGGTGCGCTGTTGGGAGCGGTTGGCGCCAACCTCATACCTGATAAGTAAGCTGAATACAAACTCCAGCACTACAGCGGACACGATCTGACTTGACTCTAGGAAGGACAAGAAACACAAGAAGCACAAGAAGCATGGTAGCTCTGAGCATGGCTCCCACCACGGGTCTTCGCATCATTCGCACCATGGCTCGCATGGCCACGGTCACAAGCACAGGAGCCATAGCAGGAGCCGTAGCAGGGGCGGCAAGAGCAGCTCTAGCTCTAGCAGCGACTCGGACTAGACGAGGCGCACGTATACTGCGTTGCTGGCTTAAGGATGCCGCGCCCATGCAGGTGATAGTAAGGTCGTAGTAATACCTTTGGACAATCGTATCCCTATTCATCAAGCCAAGCATCCACTCCTCCACATGAGAGCTACATTTGATCGTATCCAGATTTCGCCTTTTCAGATTAGCTGCTGCATGATGACAGCGGGCTTGATAGTCGGATTTGCATCGGCAAAGAGAGAACTAATGTCTTGCATGCAGATGTGGATCAGACCCTGTTCGCCCAAAATAGTTAGGCGTGCCACCAGACAGCCCTTTTTCTCCACTGACTTACTCATCGCCGCAAATTCCAAAAGCAGCCCCGCAACCACGCTATGAGTATGCAAAATTATTGGAATCCGTGAATGACTTATTGTGCAAGCCTCTATAGCCTTGCGCCCGATACTGTCTCACCCCCAATCTTACATTAATCGACATCACCAAACATGGCTGACGTCTTTTTGAGTTTCTTCCGCAGTTCGTTGCCGGACGAACTTGCGGCAGTGCTTGAAACCACTATCAAGGCAACCGAATCCGGGGATTTTTTGAAGGTGCTCCAACTACCGGAAGCGCAACTCCTTCTAGGCCGTGAGGACAATGAAGCCACCAAGGACGTTAGAAGAGGCGATTTCGCTGTCTGGAACGACTATATCTTTCGCCGCCTTGGACTACTCCTGTCACAACAGAATGAAGTGGATTCAGGTTCAATACAAGAAACAGCAGCATACAAACAACATACATACCTCCTAATTGCGGTCGCTGCGTTGTATGCATTTCTGCAGTCCAATGTTACTGGACCGCCACTACCTTTCAAGTCTGCCGAAACACTTTTATCGGAAGACATCACAGGCGATGTAAAGGCCCTCAACAAAGCAAGGGCAGATCTTGTTGCATCGCTGAGCACAGATGGTGTTGCAGCATACAGACTTACACCAAACATCGAGCTACTATGCCTCGCACAAACTATCCTCATCAGCCCGGCCATTCGAAAGAACATTCCGGTCGCGGCGTGGGCGCGCCTCAGGGCCAATTTCGTCCATCAGAGACTGCTCAGCGAGTCGGCACCCAGTCTACAAGATGCCATCTATGACGACTTGAAGGTCGTAGAAGATTTGATTCACAACTCGGATAAGAGCAGGGAGATCAAGGACTTGCATCCTAGCTTCCTACTGGAACGAGCAGCGGTTCACACGCACCATGGTCTGGATAAGAAAGCTAAGGCGGATCTTGATCAGGCAACCTCAGAACGCAAGTTCGAATTCGCATTGACTGGACTCATGGGAAAGAGAACGAAGTTCCAGCAGAAAGATACTAGCCAGCTCATCGTACTCGCCCGAAGTGCAGGGTCGGATACTAATGGCGCAGCAGACGCAAGCTCAAAACCAAAAGCCTTGGACCTGAACGACGATACCTTGCTTGAGTCTATTTCCTTCACCAACGATACTGCGTCCATGGAAATCAAGGATGAGTCCTCTCTACCGTCATCTCTTACATCCATGGACCCATCGAACCAACCTCTGCTCGATCCACTCGATTCCGTCATCATGCTCTCGCTGGCTGAGAGCATCAAGAACACGAACCCCGCTGACGGTCTTACAAGAGAACAAACCGAGCCGTACGCTACCAGAGTACTAGAGGGCGGCAGCTCGAACTGGCAAGTTTACACCCAAGCTCTCCTTGTGCGCAGTCGCATCGAAGGCTACAAGTCGCGCACCATGGAGCGAGGGTTGCTTCAACTGCAAGCACTGGTGGACCAAGTCATCGCGGAGACTTCTGGCGACGCGACCACTGATGCTGAGACGGGCGAAAAGATCACTTCTTTCCTTCCACAGGCGAAGGACAGCGAGGCGGCATCCGTTGAAGAACGCCTTCGCTACATCTTCCCTCTCTGTTCGCCATCCCGTTGGGAGCTGGAGTCTGAGCTTGCTGCTCGATGGGTCGCTCTGGGTGGTTTGCGATCTGCGCTCGAGATCTACGAGAGATTGGAGATGTGGGCCGAAGCAGCGCTGTGCTATGCAGCCACCGAGAAGGAAGAGAGGGCGCGTAAGATGATCCGACGACAACTGTTCCATGCTACCAACGGCGATGATGAGAACGTGGATCTTGACGAGGAGAAGTGGGAGGGCGCTGAACGGAACCCACCGCCAGCCGAAGCACCACGTTATTACTGCATCCTGGGTGATATTGACAACGATCTCTCCATGTACGAGAAGGCTTGGGAGGTTTCCGGCAAACGTTACGCGCGTGCTCAACGGTCCCTTGGTCAACGCTACATCGCAGCACGCAACTACGAGAAAGCTGTAGAAGCCTACGAGCTTTCTCTCAAAATCAACTCGCTCTATCATCCCGCATGGTTCGCCCTCGGATGCGCATACCTCGAAACTCTCCAATTCAAGAATGCCGTTGAGGCGTTTTCCCGCTGTGTCCAACTCGACGACCAGGACGCCGAAGCATGGAGCAACCTCGCCGCATCCCTTCTGCACCTCAAGTCCAAGATTCAGGAAACCGAAGATGGCGAGCTGCAAGAGACAAGAGTGACAAACCACCCTCGTACCGACGCTCTCAAGGCTTTCAAACGCGCTGCCACCATCAAGCACGACAACTACCGCATCTGGAATAACGTCCTCGCCGTCAGCGCCTCCACCAACCCACCCTCTTGGTCCGACGTCGTAACTGCACAACGCCGTATCTGTGAGCTCCGCGGCTCAACCGAAGGCGAAAAGTGCGTCGATGCAGAAGTCATCGACATGCTAGTCAAGCACGTCGTTTCCAGCGAAGAAGAGTTTGATATCTCACGCCCTGGTCTCCCCCGCCTCGTAAACGACCTCATTGAGAAACACATCAAACCTCTCATCACTGTATCGCCCAAACTATGGATCATTCTAGCAACACTATACACGCACACCAAGCGACCGAGTTCGGCGCTAGAGTGTCACGAGAAGGCGTGGCGAGCAGTGACGAGTCAGCCGAAATGGGAATCTGGTACCGAAGTGGAGTGGAATGCCGTTGTTGAGATGACGATGGATCTACTGGATGCCTATGAGACTTTGGGACCGCGTGAGCGCACCGAAGGTCTGGCGGCTGGAAGTGGGGAGCTGGTGGCCAAGGACTGGAAGTTCAAGTCGAGGAGTGCGGTGAGGAGTGTCATGGGTAAGGGTAAGGACAACTGGGAAGATAGTGCTGGGTGGGAGAAGTTGGTCGAAAGGTTGGAGGAGTTGAAGGGGAGGGAATAGATAGGTTGGGATTTGGGACGAGTATGAGTTTTGTTCATAACTAGGTATCTAAGAGAAAAGCATGTCTTTCTATTGGAGTTTCTTGCTTATATAATACTAGCGGATCACTCACGGAGCGAGATGAACGCTAGAGATATCAACGGGTGTGAGCTTCAAGGTGGCACGGTTGTAGCCGGCGCTACCTAGGTACGTAGGTGGCTGCGGCGCAGAGGGAAACCCAACGAACATACTAAATACAAACAAGCCATCTTCGCAGGACACCATACGCCCACGATCATGTTATCTCTATCGAAATTCCTTCTCTTTGCGCCATACTTAATACCAATCTTGGCGAGCGCTCATCACTCTCAACGGCAAGGGCCCTTCGCCCTAACGTTAAACCCAACGTCTATCATAGCTTCCCGAGTGAACTCTTCAGGTCGTGTCGAACTAAGGACATACCAGGTTACTTCTGAGTATCTCTCGTACTTTGACGACACCATAAGTCAATTCGATCCGCAAAATAGATTCAACGAGTCGTGGGAATGTAGCAAGGCTGCAATATCCACGTTTCGCACTGCTATCGCTGGCATTACGAAGGACTTGACCGGATCTCTCGGATATAGACCCAAATATTCTACATTAGTTTTCCCTGCGATCTTCAGCCGTTCATCTTGGTGCGCCGCCTACCGAGCAATCCGCACCTCACCCGATGATGATGACAGACCATTCGATCAATTAAAAATAGACGATCGACCGTTCAGCGAAAGACATGGGGGAGCGGCCGCTTGCGAGGCTTATGACTTGTTTCATCGATGCGATCGGTTGGGTCGAGCGCCTGAAGACTGTAATGATGATGGCCCTGTGAACTTGATCATTGGGGTTGAATACGAACAAAGCTATATGCATGTCAGGCTTTTCGAGATGGTATATGACCACCATGGTTATGCAAACGTTGCTGAAAAGATGTGCCTTGAGTGCGGGCTTCGTTTCAATAAGGTATGTGAACCACCATCGTAGTGATTCTAGAGTAATCGTGGGAATTGATCTAATCGTAACAGACTGAAGATGCAACAAGTTATGAGGATCGTATCCGCAGCTTCCTGGACAGCTTCATCCGAGAAGAAGTAGCGAGCGATAAGTGGTATGAGATGGACGACCTTCGGGCAGTGGTTGTCGTCGGTGAAGTTCCGCGAGCAGCAATCGCAAAGCTGGAAAACTCAGTCCAGGAGACCCTGAAGTTGGACCATATCACGATGCTGAACGACATTGATGCAGCTCTTGTCAAATCCTACGGTGCAGCTTCGTATGCTTTGCATACTGAAGTTCATCCTGAGGTCTATCAAGTGTTTGTATCGCCGCCACTAGAGCTAGAGCATAGTGAGTTGTAAACCAAAAGAGACGGCACTGTACCTCCTCTGGGCTAGCAACTTTACCCTAGGTAGATTGTAGTGCATGATATTACATACATGGAGCTGGGACGTCAAGCAAAACACCAAGTTGGCAGCCAACATCAACGTCCGTACGAGGTATCGAAAGCGTCTCGTGGTCAAATCATGGTGGTCATTCAAAGGATTCAATTGAATCCGGAAGGATGCGGCGCACATCTCAGTCGCGCTATACCTCGACAACATGGAGACTTTGCGTGCATTCAATCGCCGTCTTGGCAAGGACTGAGCGAACGGGAAACCTTGATCTCACTTGTTCTAACTCCACAACGACCGTTATGTGGGGTTCCCCAGGCTAGTGAGGGGGTTCCGGAGGCTAGCGTATTTGATTTGTGGGTCGTTGCAAGCAATTCTGCCTCGAGACGAACGTGACTCGCATCGATCCTCGAAATACTCCACGTTGCGATTCTAATCCTCTTGCACATGGAGTACCGTGATGTATATCTGCTTGGTTGCCCGCATTCTCATTGCGCACATCTTTCTCGTGCAAACAACCTTGGCCTCCGCTCTTTCCCCGCATTAGCTTGCTCTCTCAACCCAAGATCGCGAGCTTCAGAGTTGGAATCTCGATCACCACAGACCTGATTCAAGAGATCAAAGAGCAGATCATCGAGAGATGTCGAACAACATCCTCATCACCGGCGGCGCAGGCTTCCTGGGCCCCATGCTTGCCGCCAAGTTGGCACAAGATTCCTCTAACAGCATCGTCCTGACCGATCTTCAAACACCCCAGAGGCCAGCCGGGATTTCATCTTCGGCTACCAACCTGGAGCTCACAGCTGCGGATCTCACCTCACAAGCAGATATCACCAAACTCCTTTCTATGCGCCCACAATGGTCGGCCATCTTCCTATTTCACGGGATAATGTCGGTCGGCTGCGAGGAGAACCCTGCACTTTCTACCAAAGTCAACCTAGGCGCCACGCTTTCTGTTCTCACGTCCATCTCACAACTCCAACAAGCCTCTAAACCCCGCATTGTCTACGCTTCGACCCAGGCTGTTTACGGACCACCTTATACGGCATCGGGTCCCATTACAGATGATACTCCCGCAACACCAATAGGAGTTTATGGCACCCACAAAGCCATTATGGAGTGCCACATAAATGATCTTAACCGCCGTGGGCTAATCGATGCCTTCGCCGTGCGTCTACCAACCGTGGTTGTGCGCCCGGGTGCGCCTTCGCGATCAGCTGCAGCATTTTTGAGCGGTATGATTCGAGAGCCGATGGCCGGGCTTGAATGTATTGTACCCATCAGCGACCGTTCGGCGCGCCAGATGATATGTTCGCCTCGCGTCATGATTGAGAATTTTGTGCGCGTAATGAAGGCTCCCACGGACGCTATGCCGGCGCATATTCGCGCAGTGTACATGCCGGGAATAAGTGTCGCTCTTGGAGAGATGTACGCAGCGTTCGAGGCAGTATGCGGGAAGGATAAACTTGGGCTGTTGAGGGAGGAAATGGATGAAGAAGCAAAGAGGTTGCTGGACAGTTGGCCGCAGACGGCGAAGTTCGGAAATGCAACAAGGATGGGATTGTTGTTTGACGAAAGTTGCGAGCAAATCTATAGAGAGTATGCCGATAGCTTAAAGGCAAATTAGGCTTTAGGCTGAACAGGCCTTGCGACCTTCAAGGTACAGGCTGGAGAATCAATCTTTCTGCGAATAGTGATTGGTTGTGTTCAAAACTTATGAAATTCCAGACAGACGTTGTAGCTTGGTTGACTGTTTATGTTGTTATCGCTCGAGGAATAGCGCTTAGGTTGGGTGATGGTGAGTTGCCTTTTGCGCACCACTCCCGAAGTCGATCCGACCCGGCTGACATCCAGAGTAGGAATACCATTCGGGCCAGATATGGTGATTTGCCCTTTTCGCACCACTCCCGAGGTTGAACCGGCTGGCATCAGCGTCTCGTAACAGCACCGTCAAAGTATGGGATACGAGTAATGTCACGTGTCTGCATTAGGCTGTCCCAGAATGACTTCGAGGCCTTTTAAATGCACATGACTAGTCCCGTAATGGAGAAATGCTGACTTCTTCAATAAGAAAAGATAGCTGGTCCTGAGATGACTTCGACGCGCTCGTGTAGTGTTATGCAACTAGTCCCATAATGGAAAAATGTCTACTTCCTCAATGGAAAATAGATAGTGGTTGTGCTCAATTCAGAAGAGCACCAAACGTAAAAACAATTAACTATCTGGCTCTGATGGAGCAGTATATAAACACCCAATAGCTCTCCATCTTCTCCAACAACCACAACCACATCCCTACGCCTTTCACACTACCTCACGCTTCTCATCTCCAAAGATGCACTTCAAACTCCTCCTCGCGACCATCCTCGGTCTATCCCTCAACCAAGTCTCAGCCGGCGGAGGCGTCGGCACCTACAAGTGTGGAGACTGCGGATGCAACGCAGTCGACGAGCACACGTGGTCCGGGACCTCAGATTGTTACACCGTGGACGGCTCTCAAATCCGCGCCTTCTGTCTTTCCGGCCCAAAATCTGGACCCAAGACTACTTGCGCACTGTTCAATAATGAGAACTGTGATGGATATGGAGAGGTATGAGAACCTGGCCATTTTTTTGGTGTAAATTGTCACTGATTGGATTGATCTGTTAGATTCAATCGATGGGTCAGGGGTCGGGATCTTTCGCTTGCACAGCTGTGAGGGAGAATTTTGGGAGTTTCAGATGCTACAATAATGCCTAAGCTTGAGGAGCAGCTGGCTAGTGTAGGTTCGTGGAGATAGCTGCTCACTTGGACCTTTCGACACCTCTCTCTTTTCCTGGTCGCTTTTCTTTGTGATTGTCGTGCTGGATCGGTCTTTACTATCATTAGTTCCTATGCCTGGTCGTCATTGCGTTACTTATCACTGCTTTTGTAACAGGAGGACATACATTCGCTCATTACGATAGACGTATCAACCAACCAACTTCTTCCTCCGTCTGTTCTTTCTGTGTTGACAATCAAAAGTGCGGGAACCCCGGATACGGAGTCAATACTACCTACGCACACTTCATCGGAACTCTGCATTTTACTGACGTTAAAGAAAAGTAAAAGCGACCTTAGTGGTTGCCAGTCAAGGCGAATTGGGCTGCTAATCTGGCTACTCAGATGACATGTATTTGAAGGAACAGCAGTAAGAACCAAGCATCAATTAGTATGGTATGATACTCCTCTACAACCCCTTAATTAAAACAACACAACTGTTATCATACCAAACATAAGCCCCCGATGCCTACGGGGTAAACGCTTGATCAAATTGAACATCGGATTCCAGTTCACAACGCCGCAGTAGTGCTGAATGGCCAACAACTAAACAACTGTGGCTCCCGATTCGCGTGCAAAGGGCCTGGCATGAAGCCGCAGTTGCATAGCAACGGGACTGCTTCCCGCACCCTCAATCCCCACGTTTTCGGACTATTTCCTGCCACCTTTCCCTGCGTCTTACAGCGTTTTACCTTAATTATGCAACATGTTCCAGGCTTCAGCAAGCGGTCATAAGTGCCCGATACCTAAAGGTATAGGGGTGCTAAGGTAGCAATCTAACTAATACGGACGATGAGGGGATACGCGCACGAAGAGCTCATTCCTCATACACTGGCATTAGGACATAGGATCACAGATGCGCAACGATTGGATTATAGATACAATTTGCCTAAATCATTTTACTTAAGATAAATACTCTCCGAGGACTTCCGCAACCAGCACAGTCTTCGTGATTCTTATGAGCTTGCGCCCAGATCTGCCCAACGAGTAAGTTACGCTTTAGAACGGCCGGGAAAAGCTTACCTCTTCGTCTCTGTAACGATTGTACACAAGTGTGCCTCCTTCTCGTTCGATCGTTATGTAAACCCGGGTTTCACAAGGCAGTATATGACACTCACAGACAAACATTGCAGCTTGATCGACAGCTCGAAACTGTGAACAAAATCATGGTCGGCGGCACGCTTTGGTCGCACGCCGCAGAACGCGCCCGGTCTAGCCTTTAATCTTTCAAACTACGATGGCTTCAACATGGATTCAAGAAATTCGTGCAGTGACGTGGTGGCAACCAACCAGTCATATCACCAAAGATCTCTTGCTGTAGCTGAATCAACCATTCATTACAAACGAAGCACGTCACTCGCGGTCCCCACGTAAAGGCAAAAAGATCTCATCAGTTATCGATGAGATGCAAAAAACATACAACAGCGGGGATTCGCTAGTGGTCACCCACCTAACTACTAATCCGCCGGTACACTGCTTGTATATGGCTGAGCGGACGGGAAGCCTAATTTTCAGTGTCCTATGGTCGTATGTGGAAGGAGTGGTAAGGTATTATCTTATATTCCAGCATTGTGGTGGTCTTGACAAGAGGTCACTCCTTGTCCTGTCGTTTGTAACGTCAGCATCAAGCGGGGACAATGGGCGTACGTGACGATCTTTTGCTGTAAGATGCCACTGACAGCTTTCTCCAGACGCCAGAGAGATCATGCACCTCATTTCATGGCTAAAGTTCAAAATAAGGCGACGGGAGGTCTGAGACAAATCCGTTGAAGATGTGGCACACCAGCCACTGAGGTAAAGAGATGTCTCACGATGGGGGATGCAATCACAACGCGTGTAGAGTCCGCGGCACGCTCGGCCGAAATCGTAGGGAGACAATGCGCCCTTAAAGTGCGACACACTTTGCGTTGTTGTCGGTGGTCTTGTGGTGACTAAACCATTGGTGGTGCGATGCGAGCTACTCGTGTAGGTGCATGATCAGAGCTGAGTTTCCCCCACATCTGGACTTTCGATGCAGCGACCTGGTACTCGGGTCTCTGCCGCTCGGCGTGGCGATACGTGTTAAGCCAGTGCAATGGATAGTAGGAAGTATCCGACAGTCAGGACGAAGACAGAGCTTGTGCTGCGAATAGATTGCGTCACGGCTATCGGGTCTCTGTCCGCGCCTGCGTACACAAAGTAATCCTATCGTGGGTCACTGCAGCCATGCTCATGTTGGATAGCTGCATACGTTCCATGTTGGCTCGGTACCGACCATCCGGGTATAGGTAACGATGACTGACCATTGGCAGTCGGCAGGTCCGTGGAGAGACCCCTTATCCATTTGCTCGACGAGTAGATGTGTGATAAACGGTGAAAGCATGGCAGTAAAAGTGCCTACGATATAGAAAGATTGATGCGCTTGCGCAGGAGGCCGGCCCAAGAGTCCGCGGGGTAAGACGCATAGGGGCTGGCCAAAGCGGGTGGCATCTGTTATGGTGTAGTGTATGTAACAACGGAGGGTACTCGTGCTCGGGTCGTGGAACCAAGCCCATTGTTAACAGCCCGAGGTCTGCTCGCGTACGAGGACCGTTGTAGGGTCGCACAAGCTGGCCTTCGTTGCGACCAAAGACCGGCAAAGCTCTACCTCGAGGACATGCGCAACCTATGTGCATGCAAGAACCATGAAAGGCGTGTTGAGATTTCGCAGCGGTCTCTGTATGATTGGGTCCACTTTCACGAGGCGGCTGACTGCATACCCTTAGTGGTGTACCACGAAGATGCGGAAGCGCGTTTCAGGTGGCCAAGGCAAAGACCCGACTCCATGGCAAACATCCTCGTGGGAAGACAGTGTTTTAGCCGTAACAGTGTGTTCAAGCCACGATACGTTTCTCACCTCCTGGAATGGTTAGAGAGGTGATTCCAAATCGCCCGTACACAGCTCTAGTTGACAAACGGCGCAAAGCATGGCGTCGTAGGTTGGGAATACCAGATAGATTAGTCTCCAAGCCATAGTGAAGGCAAACGCGTCGCGTCGTAGTGTGCACATTGATCCATTTCGGGAGATCACGACCGTGATCGGGCAAACTGCGGGAGGGCATAATTCGAGAACTCAGCGTCCGCGGCGCGACACCCAATCCATGGTTATTTGCGGCCGTCTTACATTATCCTCTGATGTGCTAGTCGGCTCGCCCGAGCGAGGCCGGCAGCTCTGCATCACTGAGCTGACATTGTAAGCAGTAGGTGTGGTGGAAGCGAAGAGATGAGCGCTTAAAGCTGTGAACCTGGGGGATTATAGAGATGAGAAACTTTCAGTAGGTGAGGATATCGTAAGACGACTAATGCAGACCAAGACCAGAAAGGTCTCTGTACTTTGGAGGCAACGGCAGCACGAAGCAGGGTCCTGGCCTGGTACCCTCCGACGCGTGGTGCGAGGAGTGCGGCCCCCTGCAGAGAACACCTGGCCTTCGCATTGCGGTCCTGGATAAACGACGTGAACAAAGGATGATGTTAGAGACGGCACACCTGCTTGATGGGGGGTATTTTGGCGGAAGCGCTGATGCTAATGCTCCCCTTCTGGCTGCTTACACACAGCCACCAGAGTTCCGCTAGGCACTCGTTCGGGGCAAGCGCGGCTGGTCACACGGCATCAGCTTTCTAAGAATACTACGAGGCCACACTGACCATGTTCTGCTAACATGGCATTGTTTGAACGAGCAAGGAAGGCTGTTGGAAGTGGTCGCGTTCGTTTGTCGCGTTGGCGATGAGGGACGTGTCTGTAGCGACGATGCTCATGGCACCAGAGCGCGTAGCTGCAAGACGATCAGCTACTTTGGATCGGGATATTCTGACAATCGGGGAGGCCGTGGCATTGGAAGACGTCAGAAGCATGGGACTAGTGATGGTCAAGTCAGCCTCATCTCGCGGAAGGAGCGACGGGCGGGAGTCGTTGCTTCTCTCCCGATGCGGCGGGAAGCAAACAAAGCGAGGCAGCTGCGACGCGCCGACCGAGGCAAGAGCGATGGCGCATGAGAAGGTCAGCCAGACGACGCTGCCACGGTATTGTCGACAACAACAACAATGAGCGCAGCAAAGCGCCTGCGTAGGACAAGAGCGATTCCCTTCGCCGGCGCATCGCCGTCGGGCAAGCAGCAGTTGCATCGCAATGTGAGGCATGGGCGTGGGCAGCGTTGAGGTGCGGTGCGGTGCCTGGCGGCGGCGGTTTAGAGTGGCTGCCCGGCGAGGCACAAGATGGACAGGGATGTTGGCGATTTAAGGTTCTGCAAGCCACACCAGGAATAGATGCATCTTCGCTTGACCGCTGGCAGCGAAGCGCATTGCTCACCACACTCCAACAAATGCCCTCCCTTCCTGCCACTATGCCATCACCACAACGCTCATATGGGGCCATGCTGAGCCTTGCCATGCATTGGCCGCCATGGACAGCCATCTGCCGTCATTGCGGCCACTCGTTGTCCACTGAGCCCTACAGCCAATCTCCCAGACTTGTGAGGCTCATAGCTCGCCCTGACAGCTGTCCGCATTAAGGGCCGTAGACTTGCTGCTGATGCTCACTGGAATGCTGGGCTGCATGTATATCATCGTTAATGTCACCGCCGCGCTGGGCACCCGCGAATCATGCTGCTACGCCCGGCTCATACGTCAACCTCACCATATTCAGCACCCCGATCTCCCTCCCATATCTCCTTCTCACTGCTCGCCTTTGCATCCCTTGTTCGAGATTCTAGATAATCACAATTTCTCCACATTTCGACGCCTCACGGGTAGTGTTTGAGGGCTTTGACCCTGGTTCTCCGCATCCGCGCCTCCTGCTATTGCAGAGGTCTTAGAACCCCACTCCACATCTCAGGTACTGGCCAAGACCATCCATCTCTCTAGCATTCGAACATCTTCCGTTTTGGGATTACATTCTGGTGCGGTGTCGATCGACCCACTGCGCGCGACCATCACAGTCCAGAGCATATCATCACTCGCAGTGGAGCTCAGCTTACTGCCACTTCGCAGTGCTGCGCCATCTGAGGCCACCCGCAAGAGCCTCAGTGCACAGGCTTCAGCCGCCTGCTCTCCACTACCGCCTGCATCCCTGTATGCAAACATAGGGACTGTCAAGCTTTGCGCGACGTGGTGCTCAACGGTCATAGTGCTAGCCTTTGAGGGCGTGCCTCACCATCGACAGGCCCGTTAGTCTACCAGTTTGACGGGATCGGTCATCACCAAGAGCCGTCCCAGCCCCCAGGAGCTCGCTGTACTCACTCGCTATTCCTTGCAGCTGCGTCTATGCTCCGCCATCGACGTTGGACCAATCCCGTACCTTTTCCACAACCTTGGATTGATTCGTCGCTCGATCCGTACATCAGCTCTACCTGGTATTAACTGTTGCCTATCTCCACAGTCATAGCTCCGTGGTCCCGCAAGTCTATATACTGTCCGCACGGCAAGGCTGCCGAGCCTCATGCATATTGGTCAGCCCTTGGTACATGTCTCTCTACTCCTTTGTCCTAAATGTAAGTCAACTCGCCAGTCACATCAAAATGCAGGTCGATTTATGCAGCTTTCCGTATCAATTCACTCACACTCATCTCAGCACCTGGCATCTGCTCTGAATCAGTCTCCAATTGCGAGAGCAACAAGTCCCGTTCCCTGTTTCCCCGGCAGCGAGCTTTGATTGTCTGAGTTGCAGCGGGCGAAGACCTGAGTCTTCCGGTCTTGACACAGACTCAAAACCGCTGTGCTTCCCGTATGAATCGGACTCTTGAACATCCCGATCGTTTGTCTCTAAGCAGGCTACTTTTGTTGGCTTCGCTGGTCACAAGGCCGTTCAGGACTGTCTCCAAGTCTAGCTGGCATTACATCTGCAGCAATTTATCGAACCTACTTGTCGCAACATCTGCCTGCAACAAGGACCTATTGTCTCTGTATTACTGGGAAGGACGCGGACCGTTGCCCCACGGTTTCGGTTACATCCCATCATCGTTTGGCTGCCAACGAGACGGGACAGCCACCTCGCCGGCATTACCTTGACAAGCTCGTCACTATCCAACTGACCTGTTCTATCTTATCAGAATATCAGGTGCGTAGACCATGCCCTATGTGACAGTTCCTCGAGGCGTGTCAGTACACCCAGTCCTGAACCCCTCCATTGCTGCCTGCCCTCTAACCCCCCACGCGAGGCTGCCTGCTAACGTCTACATAGTGTCCTCCTAGATCAACCACGCGCCTTTCGCTATCTGCGCCAGGACCTGTTTTCAGGGTTGCGCAGTTCAAGCCTTGGCAGTGGACTTCAGGCCGTCCCAGCCGCAAGAGCCATAGCAATATTGTCAATGTCTGGATACGGCAAGAACCATGAATATGTATATGGTAAGTGGTTCGCGGCTCATCTGACGAGTTTGGAAGCGCACCTGCCCAAGCTGGGTCGGCTGAACCCGGCACTGGCCCACGTGAGATCGATTAGCATGTTTGACTGACCACCTACGTCCCAGATGCCGAAGCCACCAGATCAAATCAGGTTGCGAGCTACCCAGGCATTGCGCAGCCCGCATTCGCCTCGCATTACACGGATGCGCCCGCGCTACTAGGCCATGAGTCCACGAGTGCAGAGGTGCCCTACATCCCTAGCTCGACGTACGAGTCACGCGGCATAGGAGACGTTCAATCCAATCCAGCATTTATCGATGCAATAGCTCGTCATCCCGCCTCACTTGCAGATACTGAAACGGAAATCACCGAACCGATTACACCTGCGCAAGGTACAGCTGGATCTCTGGTAACGTTGCAACTCCGGACGAATTACGACCTTGATGCGAACCAACATACCTTCATACTCATGTTTGGCCAAAAGAAGTGCGTTGGTGCACTTCAAAAAGTCGACTACGAAGACGACGAATCGTGGTACAACTACGTACTGAACGTCGAAGTGCCCCCTTTCCCACTGACCAACACATTCGATCCAACCATGATGTTGAAACTGCAGATGGAAGATAAGATGGGTAACCTACGATCGCAAACGAACGCGGGAAAGTTCACCTATACCGACATGTCGCCAAACCTCGCATATCAATCATCGCCGGATTTCTCAAGAAAACGAAAGTACTCCCCCGAGTTTGGCAATGGTCGAGAATTTTCCGACGGTAACGCTGCAAAGCGAACGTTTGCGAAGCCACGCGCTATGTCTGGAGCGTACTCTGCTGCACACATGTCACCGCTGGCGACCCAGTCTGCGCTGGCCAGTTCGTACGCACAGAGTAGCAGGTACAACCTAGCAAAGCCAGCAAACTACGGTTCGCAACTGTCGCAGAAAGGCCTTTACGCAGTACCCTCAGGCATGGGCATGAGCCATGGTGAATACGAGCTTCCGCAGATGTCGCCAATGCTGCATTCATATGCTCCCTATAACTCCCTCGCCAGTACTGGTCGAAACCACACAGCCCCCGTCTTGCCTTCACCGTCCACTATTTCTACACCAGTCCTCGTCCGAGCCACACATCTTGCGCAGGCGAGTGGGAGCACTTCTTCGGTCCGGCCTTTCAATCCGTATGCTATGAGTCAGAGCAAGGCGGTGCTAAAGATAGACGGAGATCTTGACAAGATGGCAGACGATTGGTCGCAGGAAGAGTTGGAGGCCAAAAGGCGGCTTGTTGGGTTCGAACGATCGCAAAATGGCAGCACCATAACGACTTCCTTCGAGCCTACTCCAGGAGAAGGTCGGGATGCACGTCGTATCTGTGTCAGCTGTATCTGGTGGGAAGAAAAGGACGAGTGCTTCATCACAAGTGTAGACACGATATATCTTCTGGAGCAACTCGTGAACGTACGCTTTACCGTCGAGGAGAAAAATCGCATACGTCGCAACCTCGAGGGTTTTCGCCCTCTCACCGTTTCGAAGGCAAGACCAGATAGCGAAGGATTCTTCAAGGTTATCATGGGCTTTCCCCATCCCAAACCTCGCAATATCGAGAAAGACGTCAAAGTATTTCCCTGGAAGATACTCGCGCATGCACTAAAGAAGATCATCAGCAAATATGTACGTTCTCTTGCGACTTTCTGTGCAACAAAAAGCTAACAAAACCAGTCTGCTAGCTATGCCTCAACGGCCAGTGCTGGGCATCTCCCACTTTCCACAACCTCCTCGTACGCTCCAAGCGCCACCCCACAGGCAACATTGAGCGCCCATCGAAACGCGTCACCACAATCAGTACCCACGTCCACTGCTTCAACGGCCTACACGCGTAACCTGGCCTCTTCTAGCCTATCGCCCCACCAGAAGGTGGCAGCAGGGCTCGAAGGATCAGCAGGACAGGGCATACCGGTCTCTCAGAGGACACCTCCAGGACAGAGCATGACTCTGTGGAGCACTTCCATTCATCAGATGTCACAATACCCCTCAACGATGTCTCATGAGGGGCGAGGGTCCTGGGACTATGGGTATCTAAGTGCTTCGGCTGCGACGGAGGTGCGGCCCATCCCCCATTCGCTGCAAATGCCACGGCAGAACGCGACGCCCAACCTCAGCCACATATCCGCAACCCATACCTACCATCAATACGGTGAAGACACGACGAGGGTGTAGGAAAAGAAGGATTCGGAGAGAATGTCCACAGGGCCACAGATACGACTACGCGTTATGGGCGTTGATCAGCGTCGGGTGATCAGCCAATGTCCGCATGATCCATGACCGCCTAACCCGATCGGGTGTTGCACCAATCCTCCTCCACACCACTTATCGCTAGATCCGCCTCGCGCATCTCGCACATCTTCTCAAGTTTACAGTTTTGTTCCCAATTTTCTTAACATCATATGGTATCTGGTTTGGCGTTGAATACGGCGATTTCGGCATTTGGACACAGGACGCATAATACCCCGGGGAGGCGGCGTTCACCATATTTTCGGATTCATCGTCAACAAGCATGTATAGGATAATGGCGAGCAGTCGGGCGATGCCTCACGCAAACAACTTGATCGCGAACCCTTGTCAAATCCAGCATGGTCAGCTCTGCATTACACTGGCGTTTTCTCATGTTCCTCTATACCCAATAATTTCTCCGCTACCCACCTTTAATCGTTCGCTATCTTTCAAAGCTCCAAGACCATGTCTCTTTCGAGAAAGGGCCACATCACTTCAGCTTCGTACGGCTGCTCAACCGCAGGCACTTTTGCTTTCCACGCCTTCAAGATTCGGTGTCTGCCTTGTTATTTTCTCCATTTGTTGTGGACTCCAAAGATTTCCCATTTTCCTTACTCTATCAACCGCACTATATGTAACGCAATGCATCTGTAACACACTAAACCTCGCCTCCACATATGCGAATCCTTCTAAACATCTCTTTCCGACCTGTTTCGTTCCTAATATGTCAAGTTATGCGAGCTCCGCCACATTACAGGGCGCAGCCACCTTTGGCCCCGGCCTTTACAACTGCCTAATTCTTGCCAAGGAGCTACAACATCCGCGGTCGCCGATGCGATATAGGCATCAGCTAAGCTTATCTACTATGGACTATGATCTCAGCAAGTCGCGCGCATCAGTCGGAACGATGCGGAATGAGCTGTGGGTATCCTGGGGCCCTGACAGATGACCAGCAGTTGTCCCGACACTGAGGACCCGCGTCACACCAGATGTTCAGGCGATCAGTCCTGGCCACGAAGTCACATGCTCCCATAACGACTACCCGAAGCCAACTCCAGGCACCTGGAAGTGTTCTTTGAAGGCTTGCCAACAACTATTGTCGAGACGTTGCGACTGCGCCGCATATTTGCCTTGCCAACGTTTCATATGTCCGCACCACGAGAACGTGCATGTTGCTTATACGTTCGGTGTGCAACAGGAATAGGCTGCGTTTACTAGGACTTAGAATTCAGGACGAAAAAGTATTCGGAGGAAGGCGATGCGCCAGACTAGGTAGGGTGTGAATCACGCCCGACTGCACGGGTTTTGCCTACATATCATCCGTTCATCAGATAACCCAGAGCTGATCGACGCAACCGGTGGGTCTTCTCAGCAGGATGCCAAACTCAACTCAACATCCATGTTCATGAAGACGGGTCAGCCGTTCGACGCATCTGATCATTCCGACCTGACGTAGACGAACGCTTAGATCACGGGCGTAGCCAGGGTTCAGGTCGGCTGGGGTCTGAGTGCTGATCTCACGTTAGACCACGTGGGATAACGCAATGCTCACTGCAGGCTCGAAAGCAGACGCGCGCAAAGACCTTTGGCCCTGGGTCGGTGGCCGTGTAGAGTATGAAGAGCTGTCATCTTGTGGCATACGTGTGGTTTGCCTTGCCATGTCACGTTAGGGCCAAACGACAAAATTCGGAGTAGCAAATTGCATCAGATGCGAGTGAGAAGATGTATGTATTCGATGCTATAGCGTTACTTCTGACTGCCATACTGCACTGTGAGTACCGCAATGCTGATGGAATTCTTCTTTACCTGGTAAGAGTTATGTTTGATATGATACAAGACTTGTATGAAAATGTGGAATTTCGGAAGATCTTGTGGTAGGTCATGCCTAAAAGCATATAAATAATTGCCATTTTCGATAGGTGATACTAAACTAAAAGTACAGGTACACTCGGACTGAACAGCCAGATCGAGTGGTAAAAGTCGCTCTAATGAGCTATAGACAAACGGAAAGGCGCCGTATTGGCTGGGACTAGATACAGGCAGACAAACGCAACTGCTGTATTCGGTCTCGCATGGTGATGCTCGCATCACACACCGGCATAGCTGACCAGATTGATCTAGTTCTTGCGGAAACCCAGGTCCAAGTCGAGGGAGTCGCCGAGGGAGTCGTAGGAGTCCTCAACGGGGGCAGCCTCGTAGGTGTCCTTGACAGGAGTGGGAAGAGCCTCGTAGGTAGGTTCCTTGGTGGGAGTAGGGACGTAGACGTTGCTGGGCTTGACGGGAGCAACGTTGTAGACCTCGCTGGGAGTGGGAGCAGCCTCGTACACATCAGCGGGGGTGGGAAGAGCACCGTAGGCGGCCTCAGCAGGTGTAGGCATGGCCTGGTAAGCGGCGCTGGTGACCTCAGGCACACCCTCGTAGGCAGCGCTGGTGACCTCAGGCACGGTCTCCTCGTAAGAGTCCTCGAACTCAGGGAGAGTCTTGTCAAGGCTTAGGTCGTCGAAAAGACCCCTCTTGCTCAGACTGTCTGACAGTTCAGGGAGAACATCGTCGTAGGACTCCTCGGTCACCTCTGTCACCTCGGGCTTCATGTTGTATGTCTCCTGATACACGTCTGGGGCGGCTTCGGAGACATCTTCAGCAGAAGGAGTGACGGTGTCGCGCTTGCTTGGGCGAGCAGGGATGGGCTCTCCCTTCTCAGGCATGTCAGACATGTCGATGCCGGAAAGAGCGTCCTCAATCTCGTCGCGCCTGTTGAGGCTGCGAACCGGAGCGTTGTCAACCTGCTCTTGGACAGGATTGGTGAGTTGACAAAGGACTGGAAACGTAAGCTTTTGTCTGTTATGCGCAAAACAGTCCCATATGCTGAACATAGAAGACTAGGAGAATGAGTGCCACCTACCATCAGAGCCATCGCAGGCGGCCTCCTTAGCTAGAGGCAGCGCGGTAGCGAGCTGAGCGGCGATGACGAGAGCGAGAAACTTCATGTTGGCGTTTGATTAAGTTCGATATGAATGATCGTAAGAATATTAAAGTAAAGTAGTGTATTGTAGTAGTGACTGAGTTGTTGTTGTTGAGCTGATGAGCCAGAAGATGGCATGGAGGCTTATTCTTATATACTCAAACGTTTCGAATGTCGGTGTCTGTTCAGATGCTTCTTTCAGCGCACGGTACTGACATTGCTTTTCACCAGAGCAGTGACTGCAAGCATGAAGATCAGATCTGTGCTAATTAAATCTACCAGGTAACAAACTGCATGAACTAGCTCCAACGGCCAGTCTTCGGTGGATTTCCAGATTTCTGGAATGAAATTCATCTCATGGCCAGCACCTTGCCTTTGCCTCAGTCAGATCGGAAGGTCGCATCGTGTTGAACAGTGCGCATCACATATCTAGATGCAATGCACCATACGGTTGGTATCAACTTTGGTGTTGAACAATGCGCACAATCGGCGTGAACCGTTGATTCAGAGCCTTCGTCAGATGAAACGAGAACCAGCAGATCCTACGATGCCCAAGATAATCTGCTCTCATTCTTTCTGGAGAATGCCATGCCGGATAGGATGGCAAGGATCTACACTTCCTGAAGTACTAGCTTGCGGGTATCGTTAGAAACTGGTGCTATGTTCCTTAGAACAAGGCTTCGAGAAGACATCATAACCAGACTGGAAGCTATGCGCGCAAGAAGGCGAAGAGGCTCTTCAAACTTCAAGGAAGACGGCATGAAGTTCAAGCAATTGATCCGTGACCAAGCATACATCCGTGAAGGCAAAGGAACTGTTAGCTTGACGACACAATAGCATATGTGAACTGATCGCAGCAACGAAATCGAGAAGGCGAGGCTGAGAAAGGGAGACGAGAAAGAGCAAACATCGTTGGGTCCTCGGTGTCTACTTAGCGCCCGCTCGGTCCGGCCAAAGTGGGGCAGGGCGATCACATCACGCATGTCAGCGCATTTAGAACCACGATGCACTTCAACGACCTCGTTAATCGCATTGTAAAATCTACCATGTCTGCTATGCGCTAAATGACCATTGCACTGCATTGCATGGAGATTCCCGCATGTACCCCGGAGTATCCTCCGAGACCCTCGTGGCGACAGCACCAGAAGTCCATTTCCGTCAATCCTTCAACTCAATAGAGCATTCTTCTCCAAGCGCCGCCACATCACCGCACAAGAACGAGCCCAGAAGGCCAAGACACGGTTTTCTTCAAAGAAAGAAGCGAAGAGAACCGCCACAGTAAACTTGGGTGAACTCGGAGAGATCAGCTAAGCAGTCTCCTGGCTAATGCTAGTCGGACGCACGTACAGTCCGGTTGATGTTGCTTTTCACGATGTCGGTTGAGCGCAAAAGGGACCCTAAACGCACCAACGAGCGCTAGACGCGTTACTTGTCCAGACTGGTGGAGAAGTAGTGAGGCGACCTATGTCTCGAGTGTCAAGAGAGGGAGGGTGATCGTCATGGTGCGTCAAAAGGGAGATTAGCTATGTTCATTCAAAAGAAAATGAGTTGGAATGGTCCTCTGTGTCTTTGACGACCCGCTTACTGAGACATGAAGACCAAATCCGCGATGATCTTGCCCAAGTGAGAGATTCAAGTGCCTTTGCA